AAAGATAAAACATTACTAATACTAATTACTTACTAATTACTAATACACAAAGATTTAGCAGGGCTAGAACACGTGGCGTTTCCCTACCCATCTAACTACTTTCCCAGGCCATTATCCATCTAACTACTGACCACGTTCGATGTTGCTTAACTTTAGTGATCGGTCGAGAACCAATATTTTTCAACGGGTTTCGCGATATACAAAACGCTTCGACCATGCGGTAGGTGACTAGTGAGGTTCTCTTTCCCATCTGTCAATGTCAGACTAGAAGAAAACTGATGGTATAAACATCATCGTCACTCACGTCTTTTTAACCGTGTTTTAAAAACATTCTCTCCTTCTAAACAACTAACCATCCCCTTCAACTTTTTTCTTTCCGACTGACCATTTTTCCTGGTCATCTGTCTGATTCTAACATAAATGAGTTTGTCTTACTACACAGTTACAAGTCTTGTAAACTTTTTAACATACACCAATGTCTCTGGTATACATTTCATGAACTTTAGAATTTTCGTATCCAACAAGATATCTTTTCAACTTTTACAAACAAGTAGAAACTTTTTAAAGAAAGTCTGCCCAACTAAGCTATAACGATCTTATTTTTTTTTCTATCTGTCCACCTGACTGTCTCTAGTAGAGCTTTCACTAACTTAAACATGTTATCCAACAGGCATCTTTTTCAACATTTGCTCATAAGGCGACACACCAACTTTGGTAATAAGGGATACTTTTTTCAAAGTGGTTACTAGTGAATATGTCAGATCTTTGTCTAAGTTGTAAACATTTTTCAACTTTTGTCAGCTTTTGTTCAGTCAACGTAGTTCTCCTCTGTAACGCTGAAGTTTCATGGTAAGTCATCTACTATCCCTTGTACACTTTAAGCCACTAGATCTTTTTTTTTTCCTTTGGAATACCTTGTCACTTGACGTTCATTTTACAGGTCACTCCAAGTGATTCAGCAAGAATTAATAAATAATTATGTTTCAAAAACATTCTGCCCTTCTAAACAAATAACCATCCCCTTCAATTTTTCTATCCAAATGACCGTTTTCCGGGGTCATCTGCCTGATTACCACACATTTACATGCCTTGTAAACTTTTACAAACGATGATTTTCAAAGAGCAGTCTGCCAAGCTAATCTTATAAGCGTCCCATTTTTCTATCTGTCTCTAGTAGACCTTTCCCTGACTTAATAATTTTATCCAACAGACATCTTTTTTCAAAATTTGCACATAGACCGACACGCTGACTTTGGTAATAATGGATACCTTTTCAAAGTGGTAACTAGTAAAAGTGTCAGATCTTTGTCTAAGTTGCATTATTTTTTCAACCTTTTGTCAGCTTTTTTTCTTCTTTTTCTCACTCAATGCATTTCTCATCTGTAACGCTGAAGTTTCATGGTCAGTCATCTACTGACCTTTGTACACATTAATCCACTAGATGCCCCCCCCCCCTTTGGAACACCTTAATTAACAAGATGTTAATTTTACAGATCACTCCAAGTGATTCAGCAAGAAATAATAAATAATTATGTTTCAAAAACATTCTGCCCGTCTAAACAACTAACCGTGCCCTTCAACTTTTCTAGCCGACTGACCGTTTTCCGGGGTCATCTGCCTGATTACCACACGTTTACACGCCTTGTAAACTTTTACAAACAACGATTTTCAAAGAGCAGTCTGCCTAACTAATCTTATAAGCTTATATCTTATTCCGATTTTTCTATCTGTCCATCTGACTTGCTCTAGTAGACATTTCCGTGACTTAATAATTTTATCCAACAGACATCTTTTTCAAAATTTGCATATAGACCGACACGCTGACTTTGGTAATAATAGATACCTTTTTAAAAGTGTCAGATCGCTAAGTTGCAAATATTTTTCAACTTTTGTCAGCATTTGTTCACTGATAAAAAAAAAATAATTCAGACGAAGTCGCAGGGGCTGTGCCCCAACCAAAGGTGCTGTAATCTCGTCTGAATTTTTTTTCTTCTTATTCTTCTTCTTCTTCATCTTCATCCTCTTCTTCTGTTTCCTATATTGAAGAAATATAAGATAAACTAAAATATAAGACAACAATGTTCTTTGTAAAATATGATATCATGTAATTAAAGGGAAGTCAATTATAATTTCCACCCTTGAGAAAAAAAAATTAATAATTATGATGTGAAAAAATGCAACAAATGTAAACACATTATGTTCTGAAATAGAGTAAAAATAACAGTCTTAGAAAGCATACATTTTTTTTGAAGAATATTATGTACAATATAACTGTTTTTCTTTTCTTTTTTTTTCTTTTGTTTGTTTTGTTTAATACCCTGTGTCTGTATACATTTCATTTTTATAATTAAAACACATTTTTTGACAGATGGTCTTGGGCAAAAAATGACATGTTGATAACATTATGGTTAATGAGTGCAGCTTATGACGAGTTAATAGCAATTTAAAAAAAAAAAGTGTTAGCCAGTTAATGTCGTCAATGTGTAAATGACAGAACACAGAAAACAAAATATGGTATCTCATCTTTTACTTATAATAATTAATTTGTTGATGACACACTAACATATCTTTTATTATTAGTCATTAATTGATTGCACCTTTCAGGAACAGTTAGTTTTACAGAGGTGTATTTTGTAAAATATTTATAACTGTTGGAATTTATTGGGCCTCTTTCTAATAATACATAAATATAAACCAAAATAAACAAATGTATAAATGTAGTTTGAACAAATGTCCTCAATGGTCTCTTTGAATGAGTGGACATTTGAGCTGTATAAAATGGTAGTGGCCTTGACCAAACAATTTGATGGTGTAGTCTTCTACTTGACTCCCAGACTAAACTGACAGAGTGTGCCGTCCATATATCCTGATCAAAATTGAAAATTTTTTTGACTGTACAAAGTAACAATGTCAAATTTTGCATTGAATATCATCCTGCAACTCACAATTTCAAAAGACATTAACCTTGTTTAAGAAAGCTTACTGTAATGAAGTAATCACACGTCTGAAGGGCACAAGCATTTAACTTAACAACAAAGCACAAACAGAACAATTCTCTTGAATAATAGTGACAGTCAGCACTTTCATTTCCAAATTGCAATGCCTAATTTTTTTCATCTCATTTTCTAACCTTAAACCTGTCACTGAAAATCAATAACATACTGATTTTATTTTTTAATCTGATATTGTTGAACACTTTCAACCATTGCCAAAGGGAACTATTCTGAAGAAAATGCAATTTAAATGACTACAATTATAGGTGTGTAATAAATAAATAAATCTTGGGAAAATTTTCAGCTAACATATATAGAGTCTGAGAATTTTGTAAATATTACTCGTCTTCGATCCTTGAGAGGAGTAAAAAGAAAATGAAATGAACACCAAGCTTCAAAATCTGAAAACTGTTTTCGCAGCTGCAGAATGCCTTTATATGGAAGACTAAAATATTTTCAACATCAGCATTTTCACAAGTATGCCAAACAGTAATTTGAGAAGTTCATTTAATTCATCTGGTTCTAAACAAAAACTCTCTATGGGCCTCACCGAAATGTTAGTTCTGCCCTTCTCATAGACAGAACATTTGTTGATTCAATCATATGTTAGTTGAAGAAACAATTTCTTATGACAGAATAGGTTGAAGTTACCTTTCTGGAACTTAAAACAGTCAGAGCTTTAAATAGTTTATAGAAGATGCAAAACAATTTGCATCAGTTTTGTTTTTTAATCAGAAAAATATTTGCATCAGCTTTTTGATCAGAAAACCGATCTTTTAAAAAGAAAAGAACAAGAAATTCTAAAATACAGAAAACAGATTGCAAAAACAGATTGCTGAGAAAAAAAACACTGCGAGCTATTCTCAATAAAGCTTTTGAATGCATTTAACTTTTATTCCATGTCTTTAATCATTCTACAACTTTCACGGTGTAAATTAGAAATAACATTAGAACTGAACAGTTGTAACTTTTCTGAGAGTTTCACTAGCAAGATGGCAGTATTATGGTGTTGGGAAGATGATTGCATGCCCACTACTCATCCTTTCTCATCTGGGCTTGGGTTGGTGATGTCAGAGACAGGATTGAGAAAATATGACCCCAGAACCTAGAGAGATGCTGCTATTTAAAGTAATATGATTTATTTGTGACTCCCACTCCATCCTTAGGAAAATTCACAATGAATAGCTGTTTGAGAAGTAGTGTGGGTTACTTTCAAGGACAAGTTGGGTGAGTGCTGAGGTCAAAGAATCTAATATTGATGCACTGAAGATGGACAGAAGGAATACAATAAAAGACTGGTAAAATGGGCATGTCTCATGACAAAAAAATCTCAGTTAAGGCTGTTAAAAATGGTTAATCAAGTAGGGAATGGTTCTAATAAAGCAGACAAAAGTAAGAAAAGCTGAGATATGTGATTAACGAGCTTGCAAAAGACAGTCAACACTGAATTCTGTCAAAAAGGTAGAGTGTTTATGACCGAATGCAGTGTCATGAATTCTGCTGCATAATAATGATAATCAAATGAAAACAGTACAACAAACAAACATGTTCATTTGAGGGCTCACTAAACAAATCAAGTCATTTGAAGGCTCACTAAACAAATCAAGTCAGCTACAAAAATGAGGAAACTCAGAAAAAAAGGACCCTTGAGAAAGATTAAAACCTAAAGTATAATTTTCCCATTAAGAAAGTTTAAAATGTGATTAAGATAAAAATTGATAGGCATATATTACATAATGATCTAATATTACCGGATGTATATGTAACAGCTGTATGCAAAACTGTCAAGATTTTTTATATTTACATTTATAGTGTCTTATAACAAATATTATGTTGAGTATTTATTCAAAGTAATAATACTGTGGGCAATGTTAGCAGAAACACTGTTGGCTGTGGCTGGTCACAAATGTCAGTTAAAAACAAAATGTATTTCTACAGAAAAGCTTGTATAAATTATTGTCATATGCTGTAAAGGAAGACTATAATTCTGGATTAATAAGGCCACTGTCATGACAAGATTGTTGTAACATCAGGGATGGAGAGGTACTCCATCACTAATTCATGGCAAAACTGGTACTGCTCCTGAAACAGAACAAATATTTCAGTTTTCTAAGAGTCAATGAAAACAAATACATTTCATAATGATATTCACTGGGTTCTTTCTGTCAGATCAACTGAATCTATGGTGTCCCAATGTCTAGCTCATTTCTGACATATCATTAGCCTCATGATGACCTCTCTGTCATAAAGAGTTTCAGCCCTTGGCAGAGGGTAAGGGTGAGGGTGAAGTGTTTATATTGTTGTTGTTTACTGTTAATATGCTGCATGAGAAATCTGTGGGGAAAAACTGTTTTGTGAAAATGTATGTATGTATGTAAGTTGCACCGCACCAGGACACCACACAAGCGACAAACACCCGGTGACACAAAGTGCCACCATGCCAATGAGGATCACCCTTGGAGAGGTCCAGGAAACCCCGTTCAGCCGTTAGGCCAGATTCCAGGCCCAGCTATTTTCAGGGGCCCTGGCAAAATGTTGCCAGGGTGGGGCTTCAAAATAACTAAAAATTGCATACCACAAGGGGATGACGAGATATAGAGTGTAAATTTTTGTGAAAATGTTAGAAGTTTAAGTAATATGCAAACTGGTAGGTAAATGAAAAAATCCTAGCAAAATAATTTTGACCACTCCTTTGTTTAAAAGTTTTATCTGAAAAACTATGAATATTCATTCTGAAAAAAAAATAATCATCAGGTTTACAGGTTGTGAAGTGATGAAATAATCTGATCATCTAAATCAAAGCAATTCTAATCTACCTCCAAGCATGTGTAACCTTATTGCTTCTTGGCTATCTTCTTTTATCCCCCTCAAATAGTTTAAACTTTTTCAGTGCCTGCAGATTTTTAAAAAATACTTTAGGAGATAATAGGCATAACAAGTAGAGAATAAGACTATTACTGTCAATGAGACAACATACACTGGGCTGTGTGCTAGTATATACAGCCAGATTTATTTAGCATGTTCAAGCCAAAGATAACATATATAATTTTACACTTTTTGTTGTGTAATACACACTGATTATAGCTGATCACACTTTGTACGTGGGTTGGGACAGGAAGAGTTAAGAGTAGACCTTTCTGTTTCATTTTGTGATCAAAAAGAATTATAAGACTAAAAAAAAAAAAACTGCTGATACAGCCAGTTATTTGTATTTTGAATTTACTGTCACTGTCACTACTGTTGAATTTGTTGTCACTGTCACTTTAGTCTCTTTCACAACTTTGTAAGGTGGCATAGACAGGGGACTTGAATTTTTGAATTTACAATTGTCAATATAAACTTAAAAAAAAAAGTTTAATCAGTTAAAAAAAAATATATATATAGATAAAATAACGAAATGTAGTCAATATCAGAGATCAAATAATGTGAAAATGATAGAAATATTTCAATATCTACGGTATAATGCTGATACTGCTGTACCTATCTATAAAAAAAAACTATATAAAAGTGTTTGATTGTGTGAAACATGAGAAAAATAATCAAACTGCTAGACAAATTAAACATTGATGAAAAATCAACGAATAATAAAGAAAATGTATTGGCAGCAAACAGCAGTTAAAAAAATTAACAATATAAACATTTTAGAGCATAAAGGATGAGTATTTCAACATGATGAGCATTTATTATACAGTGAATAAATAATCAAATTTGTTACAGATATGCCAGGAATTGTGGAACGTGGTCATAACATAAACAGCCTACGGTATGCTGATAACACCATTTTGGTTGCGACAAGTATGAAAGGAAGTCAGCGACTGAAAGATAGAAAGTTATTCAATAGACCTCAGCTTGAATAATGAGGTCGCAGGTAGTTAGCATCCTTTGGATATTTTCTCCAGGGTCTGCCAGTGTGTTGGGAAATGTGCAGGTAGATAGACAGGCCGGCTAGGCACCATTTGGTGGTGAATTGATGTATGACAAGTTAGATATTGTGAGGGCCCTCTTGGAGCGAGTGAACGGTGCGGAGGCGCAGATTGATCATTATGGTCTGAGGAGAATGGCGCTGCAAGGAGATATCAGATTATCTGGCCAACGCTCAACGCTCAGGGAAAGGATGAGACAGATATACAATCAGACAATTACTGGTTCTATCGGAATTAAAACTCTTCGCTTGCTGCTGAAGATGAGGACTGAGCACTTATGGAGGTGTCCCGAGTGCTGTGATGTCGATTCTTAATTTAACTTTTTACATTTTTGGTACTATATATAATATAACATTTACCATGTTGTCAATGAGTTGTGTTCTATTAAGCCGTAGTTGTTTTACCGCCTGAAATACATCAACTTCTTTGTCCTTCTTCATTCTTTCCAGAATAGTCAAAGCAGCACAAAATAATCCACTTCTGCTTGCTCCATTCCTAAATAAAAATAAAATTAAAAAAAAAATTATGAGAAAAATTCTGCAACAATTTGTGGTTGGCTGTTCGACTAGCTGCTTTCTTTTATTTAAGTTAAACATAGGGTCTGTCCACCTGATAAAAATGTAATGCAAATAAAAATTTTAATGTTCATTTGTTCCAAATCTTAACTCTCAGAAAGTTCTTCAGCAATTGCTTTGAAATTGTAATACAACGTTGCATTCGACTACGTGCACATTTTTATGTACCCACTATTATATAGATATCATAAACATATAAAAAACGAGCTTACTAAAATATATACTATTCTCCATCATTTTTGGATACACTGGCAGCCATTACTAACAATATGAGCACCGTTATTGTGCATTACGTAGTGATCACATAACCATACATTTGTGAATGACTGTGAGGGGTCAGTGTTTCCCCTGATATGCAGGTATGTGAGGGGTCAGTGTTTCCCCTGAAATGCAGGTATGTGAGGGGTCAGTGTTTCCCCTGATATGCAGGTATGTGAGGGGTCAGTGTTTCAGCTGATATGCAGGTATGTAAGGGGTCAGTGTTTCCCCTGATATGCAGGTATGTGAGGGGTCAGTGTTTCCCCTAATATGCAGGTATGTGAGGGGTCAGTGTTTCCCCTGATATGCAGGTATGCCAGTGACTGTGAGGGGTCAGTGTTTCCCCTGATATGCAGGTATGTGAGGGGTCAGTGTTTCCCCTGATATGCAGGTATGTGAGGGGTCAGTGTTTTCCCTGATATGTAGGTATGTGAGGGGTCAGTGTTTCCCCTGATATGCAGGTATGTGAGGGGTCAGTGTTTCCCCTGATATGCAGGTATGCCAGTGACTGTGAGGGGTCAGTGTTTCCCCTGATATGCAGGTATGCCAGTGGACAAGCTGATGGGCCCACAATCATCAATAAATTTGACCATTTGGCTTATAACGATTCCATTTCAATGTTTCATACTGCATTATTTTCATTTTGATTTAACTGTTGTGACCCACAAGCATTGTGAAATTAAACATATTAGGAATGTGCACTTTCTGTTTTCATTCTTTCCCATCTAACCAGACTGAGCCAAAGAAATGTGTGACAGGGTACAGCTGGTTAAAAATAGAAATTCTTAGTTGATGTATTTCTTCTTCTTCTTCTTCTCTTCCACCTTGTACTTCAGCGAAGTGTCAGGGGGAGATGTAACATTCGTTGATGAGCTCTCTCAAGAGCCCTATTAAGACTGATGGTCTTTGTTAGTCTCTAACAATTTGTTTTGCATGTTTACTCGTATGGGTCACCAATTTTACCTATCAGTTCTTTTATTATTTGATACCCAGTTGTTTAAGCTTTCCATATTAACCCTTTGTTATCTTCATCTATCTCTCTTGACTAGTACTTTCCTACCAAAAGATAAATCGGCTCTCCTGCCACCTTAGGCCGTTAGCTCGACTGCCGCCGATCGCTTAGTGGAAGTTCTCTCCCTTCGCTGCATTGCAAACAAGGAGCGGAAAAGTCACGAATCAAATGAAGACAGTGAGGTCGACATCAGGGTTGCCAATGCTTGGTTGTTTCCCTCAGATCTAGGTGTATTGTTTAATCAACGCGTCGGGGAAATCTGGTTTTTGTTGCTGTTGCCGATCTGTATGCTTTAATGACCGATAAATTTGCGTGGTTAGGGGTTGGGTTAGGGTTAGGGGTAGGGTTAGGGGTAGGGTTAGGGGTAGGGTTAGGGGTAGGGTTAGGGGTAGGGTTAGGGTTAGGGTTAGATGTGACAATTGTGACGCAGGAGGTCCCTATAATCGCACACAGTCACATACACACCCAAACAATCGGAGGACTGTGAATGCTACTCAAACGGACAATTTGCCACTGATTGCGCACCAGCTGCGCGCTATTGCCGTCATATTTGGGAGATATCCAGTGGCGCCACTCCCACAAGCATCAGACTGTCGGCCATTATTTGGAACTCCTATGTCAAAATTTTCACATCTAACCCTACCCCTAACCCTAATCCTAATCCTAACCCTAACAAACCCTAACCCTTACAAACCCTAACCCTACCCCTAACAAACCCTAACCCTATCCCTATCCCTAACCCAAACCCTATCCCTAACCCTAACCCTAACCATAACCCTATCCCTAACCCAAACCCTAACCCTATCCCTAACCCAAACCCTTTCTCCCTAACCCAAACCCTAACCCTATCCCTAACCCTAACCATAACCCTAACCCTAACCCAAATGCTATCCCTAACCCTAACCCAAAACCTAAACCAGCCCCTAACGTCGCTAACCCTATCCCTAATCCTAACCCAAACCCTATGATGACTACGCAACCGTACACGCAACCGTATGATGATAGCTAACCGTAACCGTATGATGACTACGCAACCCTACACGCAACCGTATGATGATAGGTAAGTATGTCATTTGATTCGTGACTTTTCCGCTCCTTGTTTGCAATGCAGCGAAGGGAGAGAACTTCCACTAAGCGATCAGCGGCAGTCCAGCTAACGGCCTAAGGTGGCAGGAGAGCCGATAAATCTCTCTATTGCCATTGGTCTGTTGACATGCCTTATAGATTTACTTTGTTTTTTCCTTACTTTTTTATTTATGTAAGCAAACATAAGTGACTACTGAGAAATATCATAGCATTGTGAACAGATCCATAAGCAAATACTCAATTCATTTGTTTGTGTTTCCTGCATTAACAACAATGAGTCCAAAGGGGTTAACATGAAAGTATTTTTCAATTGTCAAATCTATGCCTTCTCAAAATCTAGTCTATTATTTAGTCTATTTAGTCTATTATTTAAAAAAAAAAAAAAAAAAAAACTATTATTTACTGATACATCTCACTTCATCTGCCAAATTTGTTATTTCCTGATACATCTCAGTTCATCTGCCAGATTTGTTATTTCCTGATACAAATCACTTTATCAGCCAGATTTGTTATTTCCTGATACATCTCACTTCATCAGCCAGATTAAAATGGTAGTCCTCAACAGGATTATTTACCTTTTATCTTTAGTGACATTTAAAACTTCACAATCAGCAGACTATTTACTAGAATGATCTGTGTCACATACAACATGTATAAGGCAGCCTACAGGAGAAAATGTTTACCAGAATGATCTGTGTCACATTCAACATGTATAAGGCAGCCTACAGGAGAAAATATTTTCTAGAATGATCTGTGTCACATACAACATGTATAAGGCAGCCTACAAGAGAAAATGTTTACTAGAATGATCTGTGTCACATACAACATGTATAAGGCAGCCTACAGGAGAAAATGTTTACTAGAATGATCTGTGTCACATACAACATGTATAAGGCAGCCTACAGGAGACAATGTTTACTAGAATGATCTGTGTCACATACAACATGTATAAGGCAGCCTACAGGAGACAATGTTTACTAGAATGATCTGTGTCACATACAACATGTATAAGGCAGCCTACAGGAGACAATGTTTACTAGAATGATCTGTGTCACATACAACATGTATAAGGCAGCCTACAGGAGACAATGTTTACTAGAATGATCTGTGTCACATATAGCATGTATAAGGCAGCCTACAGGAGACAATGTTTACTAGAATGATCTGTGTCACATACAACATGTATAAGGAGGCCTACAGGAGAAAATGTTTACTAGAATGATCTGTAGTCTATGGTGATGTAGACTATAAGGCGGCATATCACAGTCTTTATTTCAATAGTGATAGGACAAAGTAGAAAAAGGTAAAATCAATAGCTCACATGCAGTGAACAGTAATTGGTCCATGGTGTGGCTGCTGCCATAGGTTTGTTAAATGCACTAATTGCAGCAATGCTCTATGAGAACTTGGTGTGGCTGATCCTTCTTGCCATCGGTGAAAATGAAACTGACGTACATGTCGAGCTGAAACATTTGGCTGTTAAAAAAACAACACAATTTTAAAAAAATACTTGAAATCTTTATGATTACCTGCTCTTTAAAGAACAAAGATTTATGCATATACTTTTTTGCACAATTTTCTTTTTTTTAGAATGACACAACCATACATATTAAAATTTACATAACATTTCTTGTTAAGTTTACCCTCTCCAGTACTGTATGCTGTATGATTAACATCCCATGGATTAGAATAAAAAAGGTGCAAATCCTGGGAATACCTTTCAAACATATAATACAGTTATTTTTAGGGCATCTAACAGCTATGAACTAACCAGCAATCCTGTATGGGTGGAAAAGATGTTCAAGTGCACATGTGCACACTGTCTATAAACTGAAACTATTTTCTGATAATGCTGAGTTTACCTATATGAATTTTTTTTCTAGATCTACTTCCATATCTGCTATTTGCACATCTGATGTGTCAGAAACTTTAGCATTAGTGTTATAGGTTCAATTCACATTTATAGGCCCAGAAAGAGAGTGACTTCCCTTCCCATTCACCGGGGCGTGTCCTATGTTGAGTTGGTGGTGTCACACTTAGAGACCAGCTTCTAGTACATAACATTTTACTAGTTATTCTCCCCAGCCGGCGATATCTCGTGTTGTAAATTTCTATAATGTGAGCGCTTTTAATGATCACAAAATGCAGAACTGGCCCTAACCCCCCTATGTCCAAAGAGAGAGTACAGCCTACGTCCCACGACTGCATGCAGCCAAGGTCGCACGACTGTATGCAGGGTATATTATAGTCTGCATGCAGTCGTGGGACGTAGGCTGCACTCTCTTGTGGGACGTAAGAGGGTTATGGCCAGTTCTGTGTGTTTTGGGACCCTTTTCCTGGCTGGTCACTAAGCGTGACACCCATGCAAAATAGGACAAGCCCCTTGACATAGTGATGCATGAATGGGAAGCGAAGTCACTTTCTTCCTGTGCCCAAAATGTGAGTTGAACCATGTTATTATTATATCAGTTCATTTGATGTGTATTCCTTCAAGTATATTATTTGCATTCATTTCAAACATTTTAGCTATAAATACTTTAAAATGTTTGAAAATTAACTCTGTTGTTGCAGATAAATGACAAACACAATTCATAAATAGGTTGTTGAGGTAATCTGCTGTCATGACGAAAGGCTATCAAGCTTTTTCTTTTGCTGTCTTCCTTCTTTTAATTAGGTACCATGATAACAGCTGATGGAAGATTATTAAATAAGTTCACAAAATGAGATATATTCTATGCAGTTTAGCTTTGTAGCTGAGGTGATATTTACAAGAGCTATGAAAGGCCAGGGCTTGAAAAATTATGTAGAAACTACAGACACATGGTCTTATAGTCACATTATGAGAATAACATGTACAATTATTTGAAAGATATTACCTTACACAGAGAAATAATTACCCACATTCGAAGGAGAGAATCTACATCTTTGGTTACATATTATGAAAGAGAAAACTTGGGTATGCAGTGACATGTGAAAGCTGGAGGCAAGAGAGAGAGAGAGAGAGAGAGAGAGAGAGAGAGAGAGAGAGAGAGAGAGAGAGAGAGAGAGATGATGGACAGTTTAGCATCTTAGCATTGAGGATTATTTGTCAGAAATGACTGAAAGTACACAAGACAGATGGCTGTGAAATGACATGACATCCAAGGTCGTATGACATGACATCCAAGGTCGTATGACATGGACTTTAAGGTGAAGTCTTCCTTGTTATCTCTTCAAAGGATCCACATTAGCGCAGTCGACAGGAGGCTTGCTTTCAACTCCAGCTGCGACTCACTGCATCCACGGTTCTTGTTCAAAACTCGGGCGGTTCCCGGGGTTCACCCAGCCTCTAGGAAATGGGTACCAGAGTTAACACTCTGGGGTAAATGGAGGAACGTCGTTGTAGCTACAGAGTTACGTTTGGGAGGGTGACACAGGCGGACAGTTTCTTATCAACTGTCTATACTAGTGGCAGAGCACTTATGGTTTAAAACTGTGTGCAATGACACTGGTTCACATCTCCCGATTTCTTCTTCTTCTTCTTCTTCTTTCGTTCGCCTGAAATAAGTTGTCTATATCAGCAGTTTTGTCTCTTGTATAAATTTCACTGTCGTTGTTAGTTCATTCAGTGGTCCATAGAGTTTACGTTCCACGGTTGTTCTTTCTGGCCAAAAGGTTTGCCTTAATGTGTTAAATTCGGTGCAGTCCTGGAGTACATGCTCTGCTGTCTGGGGCACCTTTCCACAGGTGCACATGGCTGATACACCTATCTTGAATTTTGTGTACATGTGGATACGTAATCGGTTGTGCCCTGTTCTGAGGCGGAGGATAATGACTTTTTCTGGTCTGTCCATAATAAAATAGTGGTCTTGTGCTGGGGCTGGTGGTTTTCTGATCGATTTAATGATTCTTTTCTTTTGGTGGTATGTGACTGGTACATCTGGCTGCACTTTTGTCGCACCTTCCCCTGCCAGTTGATCAGCTTTCTCAATTCCAGGCACTCAACAATGAGACGGTATCCACTGCAAAACGACTCTTCACTGAAGGCTGAGGTGTGTCAGCAGTGCTTGCAATTCTGGTAGTTTCCTAGACCTGAGTGCTTCAAGTACGGATTTAGCATCTGTCAGCATTACCACATACTGTGAGCCAAGATTGGTATTTAGCAGTTTCTCTGTTGCTATCTTGAAAGCTTGAGTTTCTGCATCATAGTTATGGCAGTACTTTCCGGTTGGTACGCTGGACTTATCCCTAGTACCATCTGGGAATTCTATGTACACTCCAGCACCACCATTTCTAACTGCACTTTGTGCAGACCCATCTGTATAGATTCTGACCCGTTGTTCTTGTGGGTATTTTTCATCAATATAACTGAGGGTGGCCATTCTGCATTGTACACTATCTTGCTCTTTTTTGTCAAATATCCCTTTCACATTTGTCTGGATTTGTACTGTTAGTTTGCATTTTTCTCTCCATGGGGTTTGTTTCGGAATACTTTTAAGTGGGCAACCAATTTCTGGAAGGTCAGTAGTTTGTCTACATATTCTTTTTGCTTGGTGTATAAAGCTGCTTCTTTTTAACCGTCCCAAGGATAGGTTCTTAAATCTATTTTCCATCGGGTGATCTGGCATACTGAGGAACTTTTCAGCTTGTATTTGCAACTTTGTATCTCTGCATTCTCTCAGTGCCTGTGTTTTCCCAGCTTTCTCCATTTCTAATATGGGAGTTGATTTCTCCCTCCTGTGATGACTCTGAGTGCTTGATTTTGCACTTTGTCCAACTCCTTTAATGTGGTACTAGATGCTGAACACCATGCAGTTGACCAATATTCCAAGTGTGGAAGTATGCTCTGCTTGTATACTTTATTGAGTATTTTCTGATTTTACCTTTACCTTTTTTGATATCTCTTTCTATAATCTTCAAATCTGTTACATAATACAATTACAATGACAGTGTCTCTCTTCTCACAAGTAATTTTAAAAAAATGACTACCACTAGCTGATGTTGGCAATAAATTGATTTTGTGTCAGTTCTAAAACTGGTTCAATGTAGCAAGCAAGAATTTGATTTCTAACCTTCAAGGACACAGATTTATTGTATAAGATGATCTTCATTTCCTACAATGCTGTTTTTGTTCATCCTATTCTGTTTGACAGAAATCAAAAGGAGTTGGGCCATAGCAATGCAAAGATCTAATAGCACTTGATATCTTTGGTTAAGCACCAGCAAGGAGATCAAAATTAAAATTCTGAGAGCATGTGTCTTCCCTGTAGCAACAGACAGAGGTGAGTCATAAACTATCTCACAGTCCTTAAGAAAGAAAATAGGGGCATTTGAGCTGAAATGCTATAGAAAGATTCTCAGAATAAAGGGGATAAAGAAGAGGAGAAACACTGACATTTTAACAGATCTGAACATCAAGGAAGATTGGCTAATAAAATGCATCTTGTCTCGGAAGCTGAAATATTTTAGTCATATCAAGCGCCATGGCAGATTTGAAAAAATAATAACAGAAGGCATGGTACCAGAAAGGGAGGAAAGGGGGGGGGGGGGGGGGGTTTGTCCAAAATGATGATAGGCACAGGATATAAGTGACTGCTTGAATATGAAAGTACACAAGACAGCTGGCGAGAGATCAAGTTTCTTTCAGGCAGACTGTGATGAGAGCAATGTTCTGCAAAAGATTTTCTACATGATGATGATGATTCTGTTCTTCACTTATGCAGCACATTTTCCGTCTGATACTATCCACGTGTCTATATACTTTAAGCTTCTGTATATGTCAACAATAATATATATTTTTGATAACCTTTTGTAAGTATGTAAATTAATACATGCTGTTGGACTTGCAAAAATTGTGGGAGAATCATAATTTAAAAAATGTCCACCCACCCACTTGTAGAAACATGATAAATGGCAGGCAAACAGTGAAGATTATTTGTTGTGAAAGGAAAATAGCTGGCTGAATATAAACCTAAGATATTCAGTAGTTTATTCAGTTAATTTATTAAGAAATTGTATACACACCATTTCTGTACATGTAAGTATAAAATCTCTGACTGTGACGATGGGATCTGATTTTATAACTGATGTTGTCTCTATTTTGAAAGGACCATATATGACACCTTCAGGGTTTTCTGTCCAGTACTGTTGACATGTCTGAAACAGAATAAGAAAATAATTTATAAATAAATAACATACATTTCCTAAATATTTACACAATTTAATTTTCTTGTAAAGTAACTCGTTTACTGCTATGGACGTCTTCTCCCGTTTTCCCGTATGATGCTACGCCCATCTTTGGATGTTATTTTTTTTTCGTGAACTCCAGTGCTATGGACGTACCAACCCGTTTTTGAACTTTCCTTACAGATTTATGTGACCTCTTGTCTCACAGGCCAAAGGGCAATATACATTAGCTATATTTAGATTCAACTGACCCATTTACATACGATTAAAAGCACTGGCACGTGCATTTGGGTGTGTTTTCTGCATTTCAGGTTATCCCATCGCTTTGTTTACCGTGACAGCATGGTCGGTGATCTGTGTATTTTGTGCCCTGATATATATTTGTGGATTTGGGTTATTCTACACTTCGATAGTACTAAATGGCAAGAAAACTTGTTAAAGCTGATGAAGAATTGATGGAGTTTCTGTCAAGAAGTGATATCAAAGATGACTTTGAAATGTGTACTTCTGACAGTGAAAAAGATTTGACTAGGCCATCAATATCGTGGCCCGTGAAATAATGTTGAGGAACAAATTTTTACTATTGTTGAGAATGTTACATTTCTCAAACAGTGCTCACGCAGGCGGCGATAGACTGTACAAAATTTGACACAATATTGATAGTCTGCGCACATCATTCATTATTATCATTCACACAGTAGATTGCGTCAAGCGATAGTCTAGTGTAGTTGGTATCACGTCTGCCTTAGAATTGGAAGGTCATGTGTTCAACCCCCAACTCCGTTTTGTTTTTATTGTAAATTTTCCTTTCAGTTCCTGCTACTTTTCTGAAACAGATGACTAAAGTATTATTATTATTATTTTTTTGGTATGTAATAACATGGTGACTACAAATAACTATGATTAAAGTGGAAGCCGTGGTAGGTTCGTCATTCAAATTTTGTGACAGGGACTGGGAACAGTCTTCCCAATTATTCCCCACTCCCAACCCCCCCCCCCCCCCAAACCACCCCCCAGGAGGCGGGGGTAGCTTCGTTGGTCCAGTTTGTAGGGCACCATCATGCTCTGGCTTGTCACCACTCGGGCCAGCCACACAACTTCCCAGGGTAACAATTTTTAGGTGTACAAAATATAGCCCTTACCGCTGACGCATCTTTTGCATTTGGAGGATAGAAAAGTATTGCGCACAGCAGAGACTTTTTTCCACATTGCTTAGCACAGGCAGACAGCTATCGCTTGGAACGTAGCAGCGAAAGGGTTAAAGGGGGAAAAACTTACTTCATCATTCTTCTCAACTTCGTTCAACATAACGATGCAGTAAGATTTATGATCATAGACAAGTCTCCAGAAATCTATAACCGTGTTTGGTAATGGCATCTGTGTAACTAGCAGGTGGTCTTTTTTGCAGTAGCTCTGTAAATAAAACAGATAAACATTTTTCATCAAGAATGTGGTGGACACATATATTTCTATGTTCTAAATATACTGTTAAAAAAAAGAAACGCATAGTTATCCATTCACATTAGTTTGCAAATAAAACACCGTACTCTGGTATGTGAAAAGCAGACTCAAATGTTGTTTACAGTGTCCAGTGGACATGAATTGCATGGGTTTTTGTAATTACTACAATGCAGTGGTCAAATGTGTTTAAGACCATATTTGTGAGCATAACTCGTGATGTGCGCACGAGAAAGCAACACCATTTGGGGTGAACACTATTCACTGCCTACTCCTAAAAGGATAAAGCTAAACAAAAACAATCAGTTAATTTTCAAGCAGTCACGAATGGTGCCTCTATCAATAAATTTAAGGAATGTTGCTATTGGCCGATTGCAGGCAGGAGAAAGTCAAAGTCAGGTTGCCACCTAAACGTGCACCAGAGTACCATCAGTCGACTTCGGCACCGGTTCCAAGCCACTGGTTCAGTTGAAAACCGACATTGGAGTGGACGACCTAGAGTGACCACAGCAGTGGAGAATCGCTTTATTCGGCTTTGTCACCTCAGAGACAGGTTTACAACAGCTTCCTCAACTGCATAGGCATTGCCTCCAGGATATCATGTGTCTGACCATCAAACTGTTCGGAACAGACTGCATGATGTTGGACTTTGGGCTCGATGACCATACCAAGGACCTGTCCTTATGTGTCGCCACCACCAAAATCAACTTCTTTGGGCAAACCAACATCGTCCCTGGGCAAGTGACAATCAGTGGTGACGTGTCTGGTTTAGTGACGAATCTTTATTTTTGTTGCAGCATCATGATAGACGGCGTAGGGTCTACCGTAGACGAAATGAAGGTTTAGACCAAAATTGTGTTGATGAAGCTCTGCTGCACGGTCGTGGAGGTGAAATGGTATGGGGAATGATCAGTTACAATGGAAGGAGTCAATTGGTGCACACTGAAGAAGCTTGAATGTGCAACGATACGTCCATGAAATTCTTCGATCACATGTCCTTCCATTTTGGGATGCCAACATATATCTTTTTCAACAGGACAACACCAGACCCCATTCTGCATAGCTGACCACTCAGTTCCTGGCTGCCAATAACATTCAAACCGTTCCCTGGCCATCCCTTTCTGTAGACATGAGTCCGATTGAGCACCTGTGGGATGAGCTGCAAAGACTTGTTTGTCGCCGAAACGTTGCTCCAGCCAATGGTTGTGATCTGTTTCAGGCACTCTAGGAAGAGTGGGCAGCCATCCCACAGTAGACATCTGATCGCATCCATGCCCAGGAGATGCTAGTCACTAATCCACGCAATAGGAGGCCACACACTATACTAACGGGAAAGGCCTACGCTTAAAAACTATCGTGACCCAGATGGAACAAAAAAAGGTCAAATGATTGGTGGAACCGTAAGGTATTCTTTGTGTGAAATTTGAGTAATTTCACTTACTGCATTACGAAGATGCAGAATGTCAAAATTGTGAGTAGGTTTGATCCTTTCAGTAACTATGCGTTTCTTTTTTTTGAACAGTATAACATTTTTGAATAAGTGCAAAATATGCACATTTCAGGAAACACAGAAAAGAAAAAAGAAAACAAGAGGGAACAGGACAAATAAAATGTTAATTGGGGAGTAATTTGTCTGAAAATGGTGATGTATTATTTCTTTTTGTGTTGAAACATGAACATTTTATGTAATTTTAAATATCCATATCTTATCTACCTTGTCAAAATTTAACTCACAGAACGTCACAAAGCCATTGAAGATACAAAAGCACAGTATAATTTACAACCCTGGAAAAAAGCTATATAATGAAAGTATTAGAAATGACACACATTATATAATTTTCTTTCAATTAAAATACCATTATAGTTTTTTTTTCTTTTAGAAATGACTGTAACAGGGCAAATTTATAAATTATTGAATTGCTTAAATGTTTTAACATTCACATCAAAGTACTGCAGCCATTAAGGAACATAGACTAAATTCCCAACAGACAAGCAACAACAGTTCACCACACTGTTAATTATACTAAAAGTGCACACAGGAAACAAAAAAAACAAAAACAAAAACCAGTCACATAAAAACTTACATTCAGGAAAACAGCATTAATATAATCATTACAGCCTTCATATGCTGTGATGAGGTATGGTCTGCATCTGTTTGCTGCAGGAGAAAAGACATACTTTGAAAAAAAGTTAAACAAATTTCTAGACTAACAGCTGAAGTGAAATAAGTAAAGGTAAAGGTAAAGTCGTTAGATGTAAACCAGCATCATTGCATACGGTTATAAACCATAAGTGCTCTGCCATCAGTACCGACAGCTGATAGGAAACTGTCTGCCTGTGTCCCCGTCCGCAGGAAACTTCTTAGCTATAGTGACGTTCCACCATTTACCCCAGAGTGTTAACTTTGGTACCTATTTCCTAGAGGCTGGGTGAACCCCCGGAGAATGCCCGGTTTTAAACACTGGCCATGAGCTGCAGCGAGTCGCAGCTGGATTTGAAAGCAAGTTTCCTATCCACTGCGCTAAAGCAGCCCCTTAGATATACAGATAGAACAGATAAGTAGACAGACTGGCAAGCTCGCTGGCCTGCTGACAGACATATTGCAGATTTGCAGACAGACGTACAGAAGTCAATAATGTTTAAAATAAAAGTGCAGGTAGGAAGATTCAAAGACACTGAAAGATACCCAGGCATTTATGTGGCCAAACATAAATATGAAAGTTCTTTCTGACTGATGTTTATTGATTTTGCTTCATTCAGAGTCGGATAACTTTGGGACATGAGTGCAAGGACTGGCCAGCTGGTGATGCACAATCAGAAGTTCAGCAAATGATTCATGAAAATTCCCATCCAGGTAATGTGATTGTATATACAAATGGCTCTATGTTGAGGGGCAGACAAAGTGCATGGGGGTTCACAGCGAAGGCAAATGGACGTCACTTGGTGCAACAAAACCTGGCATATTAAATCATAACGTCTGGTTTGAGAATGGAGGAGGAGGCAGTTACTGCTGTCTTCCGCTGGCTTAAAAATCAGCTGTACATACATGCTGCGATTGTAACTGACTTACAGAGCATGTTGAAAATCAGCTGTACATACATGCTGCGATTGTAACTGACACAGAGCATGTTGAGAATCAGCTGTACATACATGCTGCGATTGTAACTGACTTACAAAGCATGTTAAAAATCAGCTGTACATACATGCTGCAATTGTAACTGACTTACAAAGCATGTTAAAAATCAGCTGTACATACATGCTGCGATTGTAACTGACTTACAAAGCATGTTAAAAATCAGCTGTACATACATGCTGCGATTGTAACTGACTTACAAAGCATGTTAAAAATCAGCTGTACATACATGCTGCGATTGTAACTGACTTACAGAGCATGTTGAGAATCAGCTTTACATACATGCTACGATTGTAACTGACTTACAGAGCATGTTGAGAAAGGTGGAGACAGGCATGATCCATACAGAGTGGCAAGCATGACTTTAAAGGTCGTGAGTAGTTAAAATCTTTTGGATATTTTCTCCAGGTCATGCTGAGCAGGTAGATAGACTAGCCTGTTCTGCACCACTTGGTAGTGAACTCATGAATGACAAGCTGGATTTTGTGAGGGCCCTTTGGGAGGGAGTGAACAGTGCCGAGGCACAGACAGATCATTATGGTCTGAGAAGAATGGCACTGCGAGGAGTTAAAAGGGGATCTGGCCGATGCTCGAAAGTCAGGGGAAAGACGAGATGATATACAATCAGACAGTTACTGGTACCATCGGAGTTTTAACTTTTCACTTGCTGCTGAAGATGGGGATGGAGCGCTTACGGGTGTGTCCCGAGTGCAGTGATGTTGATTCTCAATTCAACATTCAACAACATTCAGAGTCCGATAATATCCTGGTCTTGAAGGACTTCGGTCCATGGCCGCCACCTGACGGTCTGCAGGCTTAATGTTACAGGTCAGCAGTTGTGACCTGCCTCTCTTCTACATCAGTTTGGTTTGGTTTAAACAATGGATCAACATCATAGCACTTCTACATCAGTTTGGTTTGGTTTAAACAATGGATCAACATCATAGCACTTCTACATCAGTTTGGTTTGGTTTAAACAATGGATCAACATCATAGCACTTCTACATCAGTTTGGTTTGGTTTAAACAATGGATCAACATCATAGCACTTCTACATCAGTTTGGTTTGGTTTAAACAATGGATCAACATCATAGCACTTCTACATCAGTTTGGTTTGGTTTAAACAATGGATCAACATCATAGCACTTCTACATCAGTTTGGTTTGGTTTAAACAATGGATCAACATCATAGCACTTCTACATCAGTTTGGTTTGGTTTAAACAATGGATCAACATCATAGCACAAGGGTAGGGACCTGTAAGTGCTCTGATCTATTTCTAACTCAAGTCTGAGTCCGAAGAATCTCAGTGCAGTGCACAAATTCCATAGCACCAGCAAGGATGCTGGGTAAATTTCTAACTCTAAATTTTGCATGGGCAGCGCCGCTGGGCTGAATTTATCGATTTCCAACTGCCAAGGTTTTTTTTTAACCTGCACAACAATACACACGGGCGTCGGACCTTTCTATCCAGAAGCCAGGGGAAGTTATTAGAAGTCCACATGAAAAAAGCCTGAACCTAGGACCTCCACGCGATGCCTCAAGACCAGGCAGTCCCTAAAGTCGGCCTGTTCTTGTTTTCCCCCACAACAAGGCCCCGGAACCCACACTGGGATCACACGGAGTTGAACCTTAAGGGTTAATTGTTTTATTTATTTATTTATTTTACTATAGCAAAACACAAGTTCACTGATCACAGACAGTGATAAAAAGTAATGACAATTCTGTAAGTTCAGACAACCTCAGTCTACAGGTACTACGTCAGACAACAATACCTGTTTACTTGTGTACTGCTCCATCTATTGATTGTCATTTACTGTGAATGTAACACTCAGAAAAAAAATGATGGGGCGAGTTATTCTATTTGCATTGTTAATGCAGTTTATGTAACACAATAGCTCAACAAAGCATAGAAGCAATACAGTGAGTCATATTTCAATTTCAAGGTCATGTTAAGTTTGATTCTTGTGCTACCTGGAAAGTTGTTATAATTATAGCGATTTATTGAATAAAATGTTCATTTGGTAAAATGAAGTTTTTTGCCTAGATTCTTGAAATTTGTTACTTATCTAAAATTAAAATCACAGCCTAACTAATAAACAGTATACATGGCTAAACACATACCTGGGACAATGTTTTTACACCGGTTTTTGAAAATGTTTTCAGGTCTCAGTGCAGTGGTACTTTCATCCCTTTCAATTGTTGTGGACAATAATTTCAGGATCTATAAATCAGGGAATGTCACAACTCAATAAGTTATTATTATCTTGCTGAATGTGAAGTTAAACATTTATTAGTAATACATTTTACAAGTATTAATATTTCATGTTTTCATAGTTTTAAATAGCACTGACAAAAGGTACAAGTGTTAGAAAATACAGTAAGTGATGAGGCCCAAAAAAAAAAAAAAACATGGTTTTATGAATGTGAATAAATAAGAAATGAAGAAATTAAAATCTTGTTTAAGCTACTATTATTTTTATCTACTTCAAGACTTTAAACTAATTTATGTTCTTATCACTGCAATTTCTGGATTTTGCTCAGCACAGAAACAGACAAAAATGACAACCTAGGTATTTGAAATGAAATCAGAAAAATGATGTCATAAACCTGAAACGAACTAGTGCATTTATTTATGTAAGGTAGTAGTGGTTTTTATATATATAAACCCTGGTGGTTAAACAGGATAATTTTGAACAATTACTACTATATATATATATATATATATATATATATATATATATATATATATATATATATATATATATTATATATATATATATATATATATATATATATATATAAAAACACACACACACAAACATGCACACATGCATGCAAGTGCGCATACACGCACGCACATACACACACACACATGCACACACACATACACACACACATACATTAAATTGTCTAACCTTTGAACGATGGCAGATGTCACATTATCTTAAAACTGTAATTTAATGACATCAGATTTCACAAAAACTTTGACAAAGATTTGTTTTTGCTGGTTAGTTGTCAGATGTAAGCATTTTCTGACATCGGTGGGCCACGGGTGTCAATAGGTTGAGGAACACTCATCCAGGCAATTTTTCTATTTTATGGGATTTTATGTTTACCAGATATCTGGTATTGCCTTTCAGGGCCATTACAATGAATGAATGAATGAATCCAGAACTGACATCACTGCACTCTGGGAATTTCCATATGTGCCCCATCCCCTTCTTCAGGAGCCAACAAAAAGCTGACATGCTAATAGTACCAGTAGCAACCTGATGAAAAGTCCACCTCTGTTTTCCCTTCCATGTTGAATATCTCCCAAGAGCCTCTACGCACCCTCCCCACCCCAACCCCATTGAACTAGTCTTTCAGTGTATGGATTCTCTATCTATTCTTTCTCACTGTCCATTTGATCCCATAGAGCCTTCATCACATCTGGTTTATCATACAGTAGCCTGCCGACCAGAGGAGCAGCAGCAGCTAATCTATCAGCTTGCTTGTTACCTCACACACGTGAACATCCTGGACAGAAAATGCATGATATGCTCTTGATCTGGATCTTATCAAGTCATGCCAGCCATTTTGATCGCAGGACACTGTTATTAGTTTTCCGAAGCATGCTTAATGAGTCTGAATTCATTCATTCATTCAGATGTTGATTTGATTCACATTTATGTGGGGGGGGGGGGAGGGGGTGGGATTTTGTCTGACTGCAGAAGTTGAAGAAGAGATATTATCTATTACATGTTGTCAATTAATAATTATAATTTTGTCTCATTTCAAGATATATATTATTCATATAACGTGAACTCAATTTTACATTCAAACAAATGTAACATAAAACTAAGTTTTTAAAAATAAGACCAAGATTTTAACATCTAGAACATGGATTGAAAAACAAACAAACACATTTTATAAATAAACACTTTGCTAGCGATAAACATTCTCCATTATATTTACTACTGATTAAAAAAAATATTGCAGACACACAAAACTAAAATAGCAACATGAACAGTGTATGTGATAGCTAGCTTTAAATACCACCAGTATACTATACCTCAAACTGCTCTTCCAGTTTAGTTTTTGAGATATCTGCATCGAACAAGCACAGATCTGTGAACACCTCTGGAAAGGCATGATTTGATACTGTGGTGTCACCACATATAAGGGCTTCCAGCAGGCAGTCATACACAAAGATATATTGTTCCTGCAACATAAGCATTCAATAAATATTTTTAGGACAAGAAAATTCAAACACGTGAAAAATATTTTTTCTTAAAAAAAATTAATCAATAATAAATGAGTATTACAAAGAAATGAATATTTTGGCCACAACAGAGAAACATTTCTTACCAGTGTCTGTACCATATTCACTCTCTGAGTCCTCATTAGCTGAACAAAATTGTAGACATCTATAACACCCTCAGACTTTGCCTTTTCCAGCTGGGTATCCACGGCAATATATGTACCAGTACGACCAACTCCAGCACTGAAAATGATTTTTAAAATTTCACTTAGCCACTTTGAATTTGTTTTTTTAAATATTGTCACATTTATGCGAGACTGGACACTGTAGCAATTGTTTTCATATAATCAGTATCTAGTTCAGCCCCTATAGTTATATATGGGAAATAAACTCTTCAATCAGTCATTAATAAAAAAAAAATTTTTGTGAAAAGAAAATATCCTGGTCACACCTTCTGGGTTATGATTTGGACTGCTAGTTTTTAATGATTGTTTCAGTTAATATTTGGTACATTATAATATTAGATTTATTATTGTTTTATTTGTGTCTTGCACGTGGTTATTACTCTTTATTGTGTTAGTCATCCTCAAAATGAATACCTTTAACAATTACACAAACATTTCCTAGAACCTACAAATCAATTTTAGTTTAGTTATAAACTATGATCTTTTATAAACTATGATCTTCCTCTAATCTCTATTCATCAGGAGATATCAGTAAAATCAAAATGCAGTAGCCAGATAGAAGAGAAAGCTATTCACAATGGAATAATATATTCAAGAAGAAAGGAAATTAAATTATAACTAGGTACCATTTTGAATGCCCTTGATGGTGATGATGATGCTATCTTTAGACCAACAGAATGCAAAATCCTTATCTTCTTTTTCTTATTCTTCAATCCTTCTGTCAAGAAAACTATATCAGGAGGCCAGTAGCCTTTATGAAAGCTATCGTACAGTCCATATCCTCTCATGTACTATACAGTTTTGTCTTCATTGTGGTTGGAACAGGCCAGATTGCGTCTCTGTTGTCAGTTTACAGTTGACACTGTTGGAGCACATGCTCAGCATTTCCCGGTGGGATGCTGCAAGGCTAACTTTCTGTGTTTACTATACCCAAAAATTTCAACATATGTTGATGTGGTCTGTTGTGCCGTCCTTAGCCTGAACATAATACACTGTCCCTCTCTAGAGAGGCAACGAAGCATGTTTTGGGGAGAGAATTTTGTGTGTGTATCCAGCCATCTGTCTTGGATACTAGATTGTATTCATGTTTTCATCTTTTGGTGGGTTATGTCGCTATTTGCTTGTATCATGTCACTGCTGCTTCTGACCAATCTGTTCATTATTTCATTGCCTTCTAAGCCACAGTGACCTGGATTTCACTGCAGTATGATTTCACTAGTCTTAATGTTTCATCAACAATATCAGTCCCATTTTCAGTGATTTTCAGGGACTACACAATGCTCATACAGTTAATGACATTTCAACAATATATATACACACAATGTTTATTATACATTTTATAGATCATGTTTCATCGCAGATTGAACATGACCATAAGTTACGCACAGACAATACAAATTCAAATCATTGGCTTACCTGCAATGTATAATAACTGCTCCATTATCAAGAGAATCATAAGCTCTGATTTTCTGTCTGAACAATAACAAAGAATGACCAAATCTTGGAACGCCATGATCAGGCCACGTGGTGTAGTGGAACTGCTTCAAATATTTGGACTGTCCGCTCTTTTGGAGAAAATGTAACTTACATGAAATGTACTAACAAAGTGTGTGAAAGCAAAAAAATCTTCTGGATAATTGTACAAACATAACTGAAGTAATTTATTAATGTTTGATTTACAGAGGCTGGGTCTGTATACATAAATGCATTATATGTAATGATCTCTCTTGAATTTTGTTTCAGGCAGGGGCTGAAGACCTCAATTCTCAGAAAGACCCAGTATAAAATAAGCACAGGTAAACCCTGAGACGTATAGGTGACCAACATAACACTGACCATATTACCTAACAAATGCAATCCATATAAAAACACCAGACTCTTCCTTGTGTTCACTTTCATATGCTCAGTTCAGACCATCAGGTGGGTTGCCTCTATGAACTCACATGTCAGCTTCATTGTTCCCCATAGCTGGCTCTGCACACTTTGCTCTTGAGGTCAGGTGTCTTTTCAGAATTGTATGTAGAGTGGGCAAGTCTGCAGAATGTGCTCTGGTGTTTGTGGTCCTGTCAGAGGACTGTACAGTCTTTGTTTCATTCATGTGGTGGCTGAGCCTGCAGTGTTCTGTTCGTAGATGGTAAATTGTTGTATGTCGCTTTCTTTTGAGTCTGCTGATGGAGTTTTGGGATGTTTACTATTGGTTTGTTCTCTCCACAATTCCTTGTATTTTCTCTTAATAAGTGTTCTGATTTCTAGTAATGACAATAAATGGGTGTGTTGTTTCTCCTTTGTTCCATTTTTGGCAAGTCTGTCCGCTAACTAATTTCCTGGTAATGGGATCCACTGCAAAATGATTTGATTGTTTTCTGTGAGTCTGTTTAGCATTTCTCTCTCTATGTTGTCTTGTGGATCCCTTTGAGATGCCGGGAGGACTGTCATGCAGTCACATACACACACACACACACACACAGACACACACACCTCCATGCCCACGACCACACCCATACACCCACCCACCCAACATCTAGGCAGAGCTCCAAACACTTGGCGTACACCAACTGATAGAGAAGGCTAACCAGAGAGATTAATGGAAGCAAGTGATATCTGCAGCATTTTGTCAGAATGCTGAAAAAGATGAAAAAGCAGCAGCAACAATAGTAGTAGCAGTAGTAGCAGCAGCAGCAGTATTGGTAGCAGCTGTAGTAGTAGTAGTAGTAGTAGTAGTAGTAGTAGTAGTAGTAGTAGTAGTAGTAGTAGTAGTAGTAGTAGTAGTAGTAGTAGTAGTAGTAGTAGTAGTAGTAGTAGTAGTAGTAGTAGTAGTAGTAGTAGTAGTAGTAGTAGTAGTAGTAGTAGTATTAGTAACAGTAGTAGTAGTAGCAGTTGTAGTAGTAGTAGTAGTAGTAGTAGTAGTAGTTTTAAATTATGATGGATTCAATTAGAAAAAAACCCTGTAATGTTAAACGGCTTTTGAGATTTGGAACATGGAATACACAACTTGGAACAGCTGTCAGACTTTACAATTTATATAACAGTAATACAATAAACAATGTGACCAGGCTAGGAAGCAAAAAAGGAAAACAGAATGACTGTAATCTTAAAAGGAAACCTTCAGAACAAAGAAGAACTTGGAACAGGTTTTGTTATCAAGAACAAGTTATATGAAAGCATAAATACTGAAAATATACTAACTGGATTTGAAAATAAATGGTTGTTGATCCCGTGATCTCCAACACAAAGACTATGGGTAAAATTTGATGAATTTTAAATAACTATTTGGCTCACAAGGATACCCACTAAATGCTTTTTTTAAGCAAATGTATTTATATCCTGACATGCTAAAGACTACATGGGCATGAAACTCCTGTTAACTATGAGCCTCATAAAGATGTCACTGTAGTCAAGTTGGTTAAGTGGCATTTACAGGGAGATATTAACAGTGAGCATCTAATAGCAATCAACAGTATTCTGACAATCCATATGGGTCAGTTTTGACATATAATGATCATAATATTCACTAAAATACATGATTTTAGTGCAGTTTTGTGAGCCATTATTTGAAGAAAAGAATTGGTTAATACAAAATTGTGGATGTACCACTAGGAGAGTGATTAGCACTTTTAATGTGAAACACTTACTTTGCTTATTAAAAAAGTTCGCACTGTAAAATCTGGCAAAATATCCACATCCAATAGCTGAACTGAAATACTTCCATACTGTTCACATCCTTCATCGGGCCAGTACTGTTCACATTTTTTCTGCAGGAGGTAAATATACATTTATGATTACTGAGGCACTTTAATTTAAATATTTTCATTTGCACAGACCTAAATTTACAGACTTTATTTAATTACCTATACATTATCACCTCATCAGCACTCTTTTTTTTCTGGCAGTGAAACTTGATTGACACATTCGCACCAGGAGAAAAGACATGTGAAAGAAACATGTTTGGCAATAAGTGACAAGACAAGGTCATCAACACTGAGGTTTGGGAAAGAGAAGGAATTACAACAGCAGCTCATTACTACTGCAGCAGCTCATCTAAGAATCTCACTTCCTTTATGATTCTGCACTCATCAGTTGTAAGGGTTCATGTTTGCCACTGGTAGCATCAAGCTGACCACAATTTTTCTATTCAGATTTTCCTTGGTAGATAGAGGTATATTTATGTGTGTTAGAAGTGGTGTTTATCTGTCTTAGAACTTGTGATTTTTCATGTCTAGAATAATTTCTCTACTGATTCTTTCATCTGAAATGAACATTCACCCTTGATATTTATATGCACTTGTTCGTTTTATCACCGTGTTAATTACTGTTATTGACAAAGTTTTCTTGTGACTTACTGTCCTTATCGACATCCTAGCACATCAGTCTGATCCACTGGTTGTCCATCTTCCAATGCAGCAGCCATCTCAGTGTTTCACAGACCCAGTAGTTATTGGCATATTTTCTTTCTTTGAACTGCTGCTGTTTTCTAAACACGTGTCCTTTAATACCTATTTCCAAAAGATGGCTTATGATCTCTGATTTCCTTGTCTCAACATTGCTGGAATACAGCATATTCAGTATGTCTGCTGTGTCCATATTTCTTCCATCACTAACCACCGCAGACACATCCTGTCTGTGAGCTTTTTCTTTTTATTTCACCTAACGTCCTGGTGTGTAAGGCCAAAATGCTTTCTTCAGGCAAGATTCTGGAGGCTGTCAACCCATTCTAGCCAATGTTTGCAACTTTGGATCTTTTTAAGCATGCTCATCATGCATGCTCAGTCTGTCACTATCAGTGCATGAACTGCTTTCTGTTCCGCCAGCCATGCATGTGCTCCTGTGCATGCTGTGATATTTTCAAAACATTTGGCTATTGAGTTTTGCCTGATAATAATCCTATAACCATTTATCCTGGTGTGGTTCTTGCCAAGTTCAGGAAGGGGTTTGAGGTAACTGTAGAGCCAGTCAGCAGCAGCTGATCCACTCATGATGTGGTCCGTGTATAAGTTACACAATTTTGTTACCTCACTACCTTCCATGCTCATTATGTCATTACATCTCACCCCATTAGGCAGTGGTGCGATATTTACTGAACAGCCCGAGGTGCAAATGTTATCAGTCCCTGTAATGAGACTGCTATGAATGTGTATCTTATGCTATCTTTTAAATCTTCCATCTGTTTCTTTGTCTTTGTACTGATGTACAGAAAAGCCTTCCCATTTTCCTTCTCTGCAGTGTTCCTATGCTCGGACTGAATACTGGGTATAATGCCATTGTCCTTGTTTCCTTGCTTAACATTTTTGCAGGCTCCAGAACTTCAGTTGAGTTGAGTTTATTCAAGAACTTCTTCTTCTTCTTTCGTTCGCAAGAAATAAATTGTCTATATCTGCAAAGCTGTCTCTAGTATGAATTTCACTGTCTTTTGTAATTCACTAAGCGGCCCGTAAAGTTTGACTTCCACAAGTGTCTCTTTTGGCCAAAGGTTTTGCCTGAAAGCGCTGAATCTGGGACAGTCTTGAAGGATGTGATCTGTTGTTTCAGGTGCCAGTCCACAAGTACACATGGCTGATTGGCCAATCTTAAATTTGTTGTACATGTGGGAGCGAAGTCGATTGTGCCCTGTTCTAAGGCGAAGGATAATGACTTGCTCTGGTCTGTCCATAATATGGTAATCATCTTGTGCCAGTTTCGGTGGCATTCTTATTGATTTGATCATTCTCTTCTTCTGTTGATAAGAGACTGGTATGTCAGGTTGTTCTTCAGTTGCACCTTCCTTAGCTAGTTTATCAGCTTTTTCGTTTCTGGGAACTCCACAGTGGGAAGGTATCCACTGCATTACTAATTTACAGCGGTTGCCTAGTTCGGATAATAGTGTCTGTATGCTTGGTAATTTTCCAGACTGGAGTGACTAGAGTACTGCTTTTGCATCTGTCAGGAATACCACTGGTTGTGAAAAATACCCTGTATTTAGAAGTTTCGCTACCGCTATCTTGATGGCTTGAACTTCTGCATCATAGTTGTGACAGTGCTTTCCCGTTGGTAATTTGGCTGTATCCCTGGTATTATTAGGATACTCAATGTACACTCCCGCACCTCCGTTTCTGACTGCGCTTTCTGCTGACCCATCTGTGTAAACACGGATCCAAAGGTTCTGTGGGTATTCATCATCAAGTAGACTGAGGGTGGCTGTTTTGCGCTGCACACTGTTTTGTTCTTCCTTGTCAAATACCCCTTTCACTTCAGTCTTGATGTGTATTGGAAACTTATACTCCTCTCTCCAGGGGGTCCGTTCTGGGACAGCATTTAAGGATCTATCAGTTGCAGGTAAATCAGTGGTTTGTCTGCCGAGCCGTTTGGCCTGGTGGATAAAACTACTTCTCTTTAGTCGTCCCAAAGCTAAATTTTGGAATCTTTCATTCATTGGGTGACTGGGCATACTAAGAAACTTTTCTGCTTGTAAAAGCATCTTGGTGTCTCTGCGTTCACTTAGTGCTTGGATCATCCCCATTTTCTCCATCACAGCTATAGGTGTTGATTTCATACTGCCTGTGGTAACTCTGAGTGCTTGATTTTGCACTTTGTCTAATTCCTGCAATGTGGTTTTTGATGCCGAACTCCATGCTGTTGATCCGTATTCAAGATGTGGTCGAACACTTTGTTGGTAAACTTTTCTAAGTATTTTCCCGCTAGCACCCCATGTGGTTCCACTTAGTTTTCTCAGAATGGCTACCCTCCTTCTGGCTTTGGTTGCTGCCTTGTTGATGTGTTTTCTCCATGTTAATCTATCATCAAACGTTACACCGAGGTATGTGGGCTCCTTATCCTCTCTCAGGGGTACTCCATTTATGTGCATGATATTCAAGAACTGATATCACAGCACTTGGAGCATTCCAATAATCGCTCTAGCCCTATCTTCAGCAGTCAGCGCAGTGTTCCAATACCAATGGTGCCAGTAGCAGTCTGATTTCATGTCCGTCTTGCCTTTCCTCTGAGGGCTGAGTATCTGCCAGATCCACTTGTCATTCCTACCCAAGAGGTCTGGGAAGTTACAGACTAGGAAAGGACACTTGGGCAAATGCGACCACTTTTGCTTTTGACGTCTATGAAGGGTTCCAGAACAGACAGGAAACTATGGCGGTAGGACTGGATCTGGATGGTAGGACTGCTTATAACAGAGTGAGATACGACATCTTAATGACTGCACTGAAGGAGAAGGAGGTCAGTCCATGGCTGGTGAATTGGGTTGCAGCTGTCCTGTATTCATGTCGGGCTGCTCTCCAACTGGGCTAATGGACCTCAGAACCATGCACTTTGGCCCCAGGGCTGCCACAGGGATCCGCCATCTCGCCTGTGCTCTTCAACGTGTATACGAGCAAGATTGCAAGCCTAGAAGCACCAGGAGTTGGAAGGATACTGACTTTTGCGGATAATATACTTGCATAAAGGCAGGGGGAAGAGAGGGAACAAACAGCCCGGAAGCTACAAGTGACAGTAGACAAAGCGACTGAGTGGTGTACAGAAATGAGGGCTGTCGTCCACCCGGAAAAGGCTTCTGTTTTGTGGTGTTCTCTGGACAACAGAATCGTTAAAACTAATGTCTCAATTCTCACGATAGATGGTAGAAACGTCAACAGAGAGAGCAAACTGAAGTATCTGGGAATTACATTTGACAGGAGCCTGTCATTTAAGGACCATGTGGAGAGTGTTGTGATAAAATGCCAAAAAGGACTTAGTGCACTTAAGACTATGGCTGCAATTGACATAGAGCAGAGAATGCTTTTCACACTATATCAGCACCTGATCCTGTCAGTGGTTGATTATGGCCTGGGACTGCTTACCGTCTCAAAGAGTCAGATGGACAAACTAGAGTGCATTCAGAACGTGGCTATGCGGGTCATTCTGGGTTGCACCAGAGACATCCCAGTGGTGTGTATGCAATACATCCTTGGTTTGCCGATGGTTGCAGGTAGGCACAAGGTGCTGCAGGCGAAGTCATATCTCAGGGTAGCTGCAGACACAGACCACCCTCTGCATGATGCTTTAGGTGCAGTTAAGGGTCAGAGGCTGATAAGAGGGAAGTCATGGGTGGCTCAGGCAGAAGATACAATCAGATAGGTTTGCATCCTTGAGAACATTAGACAAGGAGAGGAGTGGGTCAAAGTGTCACCTGAACGGTCAGACTTGTGTAGAGTCATAATCACGCTGAGCCGGGAATGCAGAGACTGGCCAGCAGGTGCCACAGAGGTGGAAATTCAGCAATTAATTCAAGATAATGCTCGCTCAAAGGATTTGATCATTTATACAGACGGTTCAGTGTCAAGAAGCAAAAGAAGTGCTTGGGGCTTCTTAGCAAAAGTTAATGGTCGACGTTGGGTTCAGGAGAGCCTAGCATATGATACCACAACATCCAGCTTAACAATGGAGGTGGAGGCGGTCACTGCAGCTTTCCGCTGGTTAGAGAACATGACACACACACACATCGTGATTGTAACTGATTCAGAAAGCATGCTGAGGAAGATCAGAATAGGTACGCTTTGTGCAGAGTGGCATGCTTTGCTGCGGAGGACACAAGTGAGGAGTACTGTCTGGATTTTTTCAATGGGTAACACCAGTGTGTAGGGAAATGAACAGGCGGACAGACTGGCTAGCTCTGCACAACGTGGTGGAATACTGATACATGATAGGGCAGATGTGGTTAGTGCCGTGTGGGACAGCATGTACAATTCAGAGGAGCAGATGGATCACCAGTCTGGTGAAATTGATGCAGTTGGGGGTGACGAGAGGTTCTGCCAGATGCTCGAGGCTCAGAGGAAAGGCAAGACGGACGTTTAATCAGAATGTTACTGGCACCATTACTTTCTGAAGTCTTCGCTGGCTGCTGAAGATAGGGATGGAGGAGCGCTTATGGGAATGCCCCGAGTGCTGTGATGTCGGTTCTTGAATCAAATCAAATCAATCATGGTGATCTAACTCAAGTCGTCAGTAGAGAGTAAGCTTTTTGCTTCTGTTTGCAAAATTGCAGCCAACCCAGTTTTGTAAACTGGTGACCACAGAAGGAAAGTTGATGAGAAAGGACGCTAGTCACTCAATGTCATACTGCTATCACCTAACAAAGGCCTCACACTGTACAACTTTAAGATACTACCTGCAGTCAGTGTGCTGTAAACATTAAAAAATAATATTAGGAATTCAATGCATGTGTAGCATATGGTGAAATTCAAACAAGCATCTTGAATGATCCACTGATTTTGACACAAATTTGAAAATGTTGATAATAAAACAACCCTAATATTGACCAGTCATGAAGAAACATATACATACTCTTCAATCGTCAGTTAAATAAAATATGGAATTCATTATTTCGCCAAGCATCATTGATACTTTCTTCAAACAGCCAAAAAGGTCTCCAGACCTCACCAGTTTTTTCTCTATGATGAGTCAGAATCTGTCTTTCCTTACTGTAAATCCTAAATGCTGTTATGTTTGATGTGACCAGAATATGTTAGCTGCCAGGAAATTTTTACTTTCTGAGTCAGTTTCTGATGTTCAACCTCGTAGAATAATATAGGCAAACGAACAAGTTTTACTTCACTGATACAAATACTAGTGAAAAAGCGGGTGATCACCTTTCCTGATTCAGTAGGATTAGTGAGCATGATGACTGTTTTTGAATTTTCTTTCCAGGCCATTCTCCAAATATCATTTATCGTTGGTTTGCTGGGACCTAAAGAAATAGGAAAAAACCAATGTAGGTACACCGTTATATTCTACTTGTCCTTTTAAGATTTTCAACAAGATAAGTATTTAAAAAACACACATTTGTCAAAACAAATGCAGCAAGTACAATAATATAACTTCTTAGTATTTGGTATAAAATTAATATAAATAATTCTTCAGCTTCGTAGACATAGTTTAGTGTGGTTTTTGATCATGCTTGACTGCAGTCACCCCTGTTGTCATGACTTTTGATGGAAATCAAGTTTTCTTTCAATCATGGCAGTTTTAAAGACTACTTTCAGTTTTATAATAAGACATGCACGTTTGAACAGATTATAAACAACAGATCAACATCAAGAAACAAGAGTAGTAACCCATAAGTTCTCCATTCTATTTCTAACTCAAGTCTGAGTCCGAAGATTTCAGTGTTGTGCATTAATTTTGTAGCACTGGCGAGGATCCTGAAATACTTTGGGTAGATTTTAAACTGCAAATTTTGTCAGAGAAGTGCTGTTAGGCTACTCTTTTTGATTTCCAACTGCCATGTGATTCTTTTATGTGCATAACAATACATACGGACGTCTGACCTTACCACCCAGAGACCAGGGGAAATTACTAGAAGTCCACGTGAAACTCAGCCTTCACCCAGGCCTGAAACCAAGACTTTCAACACTCGAAGCAGACGTCATGCCTCAAGACCACACAGCCCTGCAGCTTTCTGCATAATGCTCTTATCTAGTCACAGCCTTTTTTAACATGCTGTTATTGCCATCTGGTCATGGTTGTAGTGTCAAAGCCACACTTGGTTCTTGCAAACGTCTTACTTATCATACAGCATTTCAGTATACCAGCATGTCCACCCTCCACAGTAACTTTACCTTCAAATCTGTCAGCTCACTTATTTCCTTGCATGCATGCCTGTGTGCCTTGGCACGAATATGAAACTGAAGTGTGTCAGCCCCGATCACCGCAGAGACTCTAGCCACTGTCTTTGGACCCAGCCCATCTGTCTTTATAAGCATACTTACTGATGCACTGAGAAAATATGTGTAGGTAAAGGTAAAAGGTAAAGGTAAAGTCGGGAGATTTGAACCAGCGTCATTGCACACGGTTATAAACAATAAGTGCCCTGCCACCAGTATGGACAGCTGATAAGAAACTGTCCGCCTATGTCGCTGTTCGCACGTAACTCTGTAGCTACAGTGATGTTTCTCCATTTACCCCAGAGTGTTAACTCTGGTACCCATTTCCTAGAGGTTGGATGAACCCTGGGAGCCACCCGGTTTTGAACACCAACTGTGGCTGCAGCGAGTCGCAGCTGGATATGAAAGGTAGAGGTCACTAGCCAGGTAATTGCTTTGGTCACTGCCAAGATCTCCATAGTCAGTATACTTGCAGTCAAGACAAAAGCAACATTAGATGGCTCCATTAATATTCAATCTGGCATGGGTACAACAAACTGCCCCCATTGACTGGCAACATGCAATAGTTGTATCGTTGTGGAAGAACAAAGAAAGCAAGCGAGAATGCAATCAATAGCAAGGCATGTCTCTTTTTAGAAAGACAAAAGTAATTTCAATAGGAAGAAAGAATTAGGATTTAAACATAGCCTTAGAGCATACATATATTAAACAGACATTTGTGTTTAAATATCTTGGAACAACATTCAATGAAGATGGTAAACTGGACGAAGAAACTGACACCCAATGCAGTAAAGCAGGCCAAGCAAGTATTAGGACAGCTAGCCCCCTCTTACAGAATAAGGCAATTCCAATCAGCACAAAGAAACATCTCATACAAAGCATATTCATTCCCACCCTATGCTACCAGTGCCAGACGTGGTCACTTACAACAAAACATAACAGAAAATTAGCAATCATGGAAATGAGGTGTCTGAGAAAGGCTGTAGGGGTGACCAGAAGAGATAAAATCAGGAATGAGATCATACGAGATAACGTCGGCAAAGAACCAATTCTACATTACATACAAAGACAGCTAAATCAAATACTTTGCCCACTTGGAGAGAATGCCTTGTGATGCTATACCATACAAGGCATATACCATCTTCTTCTTCTTTTTTTGATCGCTTGAAATAAATTATCTATATCTGCAATGTTTTCTCTATTATAAACTTCACTGTCTTTTGTGAATGGGAACCCGACAACTTAAGATCAAGAATTTTGGGGGAAGGGAAAGAAACTGTCAGATGGGAAGAATATTGGTGGAAAGAGAAGGCTTATGGACACAAGATTGACTCTATTAATTAATATTATGGGAATGCAATTAGAGGTAATAAGAATAAAAGGAATGCGACAGGCTGTTTGGGCAATATATTTTCACAAACTCTCCACGGATCAAAAGCGTGTTCACAATCTCTGCAAAATTAGTTGGTGCTCATATAAAATAGCTGTTGCTACCAACACAGAAAAGGATTATAAAAAACAATTCCCTGCCTGCAGCAGTTACGGATGTCATCAAGCCAGTTTTCAGAGATCTCTCGAACCCTGACCTGTTGAGAAAATGTCTAGATGGCTACACCCAGAACACTAACGAATCAATCAACAGCACAATTTGGCGACATTGCCCCAAAAGCAAGTACCGTGTTAGGACTGCAGTTGGCATTGCAGTACTCATTTTCAATGATGGAGAAAAAGCCCTAGAAGCACCCCTAGTGGCAATGCAACTATTGTGTGGACGTTTGACGTCAGAATTTTTCATCTCTACTGACACATTACGGCTGAAAAACTCTCAAAAGAAAGCAACAGAAGCATCATTGGAAGCGAGAAGTGCAAGAAGGAGGAAACGACTTTGATTAGAGGAGGTACAAGCTCAACCCGAAGGCTTTCCTTATTTTTATGTTATTTCAAAATTGTAGTTTTCCACAGACAAAAAGAGGAAAATTTCAGGTAGCTTCACAAAAACATCTATTCAATGTTTACTATTTTCCATAGAAAGGGCTACACTCACACCATTTTTGTTTGTGTAGATTAATTGTGAAGAAATTTGGCTGTACCATTTTCCTACAAACACTTCCAAAGTAACATCTCGATTTTGCATATTTTAAAATTAATTTTTTACTTTAACTTATTTTATTACATGTATATGCTGAATTCCAGAGAAGTTTGTTTTATATGACAGCCTAATCATATGGTCATTATGTCTGAAACTGTAAGTCCTATCTTTGAACTTTAATTTTTTTATGATTTTTTACATCCCCCTTAAACATTTTCCAAGAAGTGATGAAGAAACCCACCCCGCTCAAACCACTCTTTTTTCTTTCCTGAGTAAACAAATGTATCTCATGTTTGAGTCACAAAAGTGGCCTTGACCCACCCATCTATGTTCAGAAATTCTTAATATATCTATTTTGTTTCTTTCAAGTTCTTTGCTAAAGATGGTAAGCTTTCCCTCTTTCCCTAACATTCAATGTTCCTAATTTTAGAGTTTTTTTTTAGAGCGGTGACAGATTCTTTTGTTATAGTACTATCAAGGCCGTCATTACAACTATCCTTACTTGCTTTGTCGTTGTTCTCTTCCCCAGTTCATGTTATTTCTGGATAGTAATGTGGTAGTTTCTCTTTGCTTTCCACATGCACATGGCTTTAGACTATGTTCTCAGCCTTAAGCAGACTTGTAAATTGTCAGGGCAAGCCAGTGCCCTGCTCTGTGATGCTCCTGCTAACAGCAGAGGGCACCCAAGAGATATCCACTTATCCTAGTAAAAATGGTATGAATGGTTTATCAAAATGTTGTCCCTCTCTCTCTATCCTCTCTCTTCATCTCTCTCATTGCCATTGTCTTTTGTTTCATTCAATTCCTCACGCAGGCACCTGAGGCTGTTACAGCCCCCCCCCCTCCCCTCCAACCTGCTGAGCCATCCCAGCAGCCATCAAATTTGATCGAGGCCATTACCACCTCCTCTAGACCATCCCTGCAACACACTGCAAAGGGTTGTAGCACCTACTTTCACAAACACTCAATCCTAGACTATATCCTCAGCTTTAAGTAACTTTTTGAGGCTAACCCTTTTAATTCATTATTTAAAACCCTTGACAGTGTTTAACAAAATTAATGAAGACACTCACCTTGAGCAGCTATGTAGGCTCTATGCTTGTTATAACCCTGGAAAAAAAATAGTTTTCAAAATTCAATGAAATCAAACTAATTTAAATTAAAATAATTTTGAAGACAAAATATTATTACTTTATGTAAACCAACATTTTGCAACACAACACTTCTTTATCTGTAATGGGGCTCTTAACTCCCATCTTGGACAAATTATTGTACTCAGCGCTGTTCATTGAAATATAGCACTGATATATGAGCAATTGTTTATCATTTGAAGAGTCAAACTGATAATACTCATCATCATCAGTTTTCACTTTTGCCATTAAGCGACTTGGGGAGGAACAGTTTGTGATGCAGTTCTTGATGAGTAACAATTATCATCAAGGGTCTTGCTGACTAGTGTGGAAGATCATGCCTCTCTACAATCTGCTAGCTGCAACTGCGTGTATCAGTTGGTGTGTTGACATCCCTCCATGCCATGACAAAAGACTGTCAAGAATCTTCTCACGCTGTCTTTCTCTGTCTCTTTTTAAACAGATCTTTACGTTGTCACAACATGTTCTATTTTTACTCTTCTCGTAACATCCCTAAAAAATGATGACTTATCTCTTTCTGATGTTTGTGATAAGTTATCTTCGAGCATCCACCTCTTTCAAAACATTTTGGTTGCTCTTATTAGCTGTCCAAGGAATTCTAAGGGTTCTTCTGTAACACCACATCTCCATGGCCTCCAGATATTGTTTGGCTTGTTGATTAATTATTGTCCAGGCTTCACACCCGCACGTTCAAACTGGCTCAATATAGCATGCCAGAATTCTGTTCCTAACCTCAAATGGTGTGGATTTATTGCATAAATGTTCTTCATTTTGTTAAATGCAGTTTTGGTCTGTCCTATTCTATTCTTTATCTCTTTGATAAATCTTCCATCGGATGTTATCCATGTGCCTAAAAACTTTAAATTTCTGTACCTGTCCTAAAAAATACACCTTTGACTTTTTTTTTTCAATATAAAGGCACTATTCTTTTCTTGGAAATCACCATTATTTCTGTCTTTCAATTTTCAAACTGAGGATGCCCACCAGCCACAATTCCTGGCATATCCATGTTAGTTTTTATTATATATTCACTGTATAATGCAAACAAAGCAGGTGATAGTACACATCTTTGTCTAACTTCTTTGTTTTGATCGGATATGCTCCCCATGCAAAAATGGCTGTGATCATTTTGTAATGTACAGAAGTGCTTTCTGAACAGATATTTTCACTTGGAGCACCTGTGTAAGTAGCTGTTGTTGCTGCATTCTAATGAGATAATCAAACCATTTGATCTTCTATTTCTTACAGAATTTGGGCATAATGTTGTTCCCATTAATAATATCTGTTCTCACTTTGTCTTGTATAATTAGGCTGGCAGATTTCCTCAAACCTCATGTTACTGGATATACTGGGATACTTAACTTCCTACACAGTTTTACATAATATTTTGGAGTTACAGCCCTTGTCACTCGCAGAACTTTTCTGACTAGTATCTTTTCAAAGTGGCCACACACGTATCTAGTCATTTTACTGACCAGACAGAAATGTCAGTCCTATTGGAGATATGTCAGTTAAGTGATTGTGTGTATTCTTGTTTGCTTTTGAGGTATTGCAGATTTATTTATGTGCAGATAAAGGCTCTCTAGTGGCAACATACACTTGTCTTTTATTCTATACATCACATGCTATATAGAGCCACTTTTAACATACAGCTGTAAAGCCTGGAAAATAAATAAACAAGCCAAACAATATCTTGAGGCCATGGAGATGTGGTTTTACAGAAAAATCCTTAGAATTCTTCGGACAGCTAAGAAGAGAAACCCAGATGTTCTTAAAGAGGTGAATGCTCTAAGAAAACTTATTACAAACATCAGAAAGAGACAGTCATCATTGTTTGGTCATGTTATGAGAAGAGGGAAAATGGAACATTTTGTGACCAATGGAAAGATTTATGGAAAAAGAGACAGAGGAAGACAGTGTGAAAAGATTCTTGAAGTCTTTTGTCACGGAAACTGAAACACGCAGCTGCAGATCGCAGATTGTGGAGAGGCATGATCACCCACGCCAGCCTGCAAGGAACTTGATGATACAGCTAATACAATGAAATGTATTTACTCACAAGGAGGCTAATGCCAGAGATTGACACTAGAGAGTAAAACTCTGAGATTTTAAATTTGAGGTCACCCCAGAAATATTGTTATCATTCTGGGCACGCACATTGTTTCACATAGAGTTGAGTTGGGTCAAGAATTGACATCACAGCACTTGGGGCATGTCCACATGTGCTCCATCCTATCCTCAGCAGCCAGTTCCGATTTCCAAAACTAATGGTGCCGGTCGTGGTCTGGTTGGATGACCATCTTGCCATTCCTCTGAGCATTTTGTGCAGGACCAACCCTCTGGTATTATTTCATATATTAATTCCAGAACTTGTCATGTCTTTACGGCTACCCTGGTAAAAACAGGTAGTCATGTTTGATCATTGTTGAAATTGTACTTCAGTTATAAAGGATTCACTTACTTGCTTCATTTATGTAATTGTTACTGTAGTATGCAGCTGACGCGATACAGCGAAATATGCCAGGCAATAAATTGTGCAATCTATTGTCTGTGTCTTCTTTGTTCAAATTTACAATGGGGGAAACACTGCTTTGATGATTATTTACAATTTTCAGTGCACAACTTGAACAATTGATTTATAAATTGTACTTGATTATCATTAACCTTTTCTAGTGCCAAAAGTAATTTAGGAAATGAAAAAAAAAAGGTTCATGAGTGGAAAAATTCTAAAATTATTTTTATTTGAGTATAATTTTCATCACTGAAATTCACATTTACTCTTTAAACAATATTGATCGCGGTGTAATGGACAGCAGCTACTAGTGCAGGAAACAAGAGATCATTACAGACAAGCGTCTGGTCAGGACTAACAGCAAGTATCACTGGGTTCCTGGTCGAGACAATCATCAACTGCCATTGTGTCACTTATCGATAGACACCTTTCATCTTAGACAGCCTGATCAAGACTGACAACTATCATTGTGTTCCAGATAGGTAAAGACAGCGACTATCCTTGTGTTCCAGATCGATACAGCAATCAACCGGTATTGTGTTCTTCGTTGATATAGATACCAGTCATTATTGGCTGGGTGACAAAAAATCCACACTTGAGGTCAATATCATATTGAAATATTATCACTGTTTAAATTAAATATTGATTGACTATTGTGATTAATTTTCAACTGTGTTTTAAAGTTATTTACATATTATTTTGAACGAAAGACACTGACAATATTGAACTGTGTAAATATTGGGCTACTTTGCAGATTTGCATTACTGTTTTTTTTAGCCATTATGGACTTCCACACCAAAATAGGGGTGTCTTGGGATGTTGTTCTGTCATTTGACATTTTTTAACCCTTTCTATTCTTCAGAAAACAAAAAAAGGTAATCCTTACATTCTGAAATGGAAATGTAGTAGGAGAAAGAGAACCCTAAGCACACTTGACAGCAGTCGCATGAGTGATAACTGTTCTGACCACAGACACAGTGGTTTGACTGGCACACCCGCTTTAGTGAGGATGAGGGCAAGAGCTTACCCAACTCCCATATTCCTTTTGGTTGTTCTGAACAAGAAGAGGAATTAAGGTAGATTGATACAGGGGATAACACTGAACCTGTTTCCCCAATTTTCATCAATGAAGGTAACATATTGAACTCACTGAATTAACTCCCTACCATCACTGAGCCATTACCTTTTATAATTGCAAGATCAATACCTTTCATTCATTTGTTTTTAGACTGATTCAATAATATTATATTTCAAGTTATTATAAAATCTTAGTTGGGTAAACTGTGTACTTAGGTTCAAGTGTGTCTTTGTGTTTACCTCAGCTCACTTATATGTAAATCACTTGATTATTACCCCAAAAAAATACAATAAAAAAATTCACTGCTGTGAGTCAAACCAAGACCAGGGTAAGACTGCTAGAGTAATCAGAAGCAGCAAAATAAAGTTACAACCTGACACAGTAAAATGAACAAGGAGGAACACATAAAATCACTTAACTATGAACTTGAAACAAAATGTACACACACACACACTTGTGCACATGTATGAACGCATGTGCATGCACACACATACACACATATATATATAATGTACACAATCAGTACATTGTTTTGGCAAAAAAAGCGATTGGACACAAGTACAAAATATCATCAGATTCGCTGAAACATCAACCTGCCCAGCTCGCTAGCACAATTGGCTGAACTTGACTGCGCGGTGACCGGGTAACGAACTCCTTGTGGTCCGGGTTCACACCCGGGGGTAGGCATTTCCTTCCAGATTTATGGTATCTATCATGGAAGCAAGGCCGAAGGGTTGCAATATTCCTAGTACCGAGCCAAAGGGTTAAATACCCATGGTTTCTTAATACTTGACCAAAAAAAAAAATATCAACCTAAATGAAATTGTTCTAACAGTCAAGGCATTAAAATTAAACAGTGAATCACAGGAAAGTATTACTTTAAACAGATGACATGAGAAAATATTAACAATTACACACATGTATATAAAGGAATTCATGTTTAACTCTTTGAGTCCCAAGAAACGCATCACGCGCTAATTGGTTACTACCTTGCGGCCCAACCAGCGCCTGACGTGTGATGGTTTTTAATTTACCACTTATCAGTAATTACACGCGAACCGCTCAATTTAAACTTCCTTTCCGGTTCTCAAGTGTGTAGTGAACACACATGGAGTGCATTTGTTTGAGTCTGGTGAGCTTTTAACGCTATAAATCTATATTTGTGTGGTCTACTACGTTACCAAACAATTGTCTGAAAACAATATGTCCAATCAGTCATCGTCTTCACGCCCATCAAAGCGATTTACTGCTTTAGAATCATTAAATTTGATAAAACAGTGGATCGATCAAAGTAATATGGAGTTGGATAATGATAGTAGCGATGTGGAATTTCCCCAAACCGTTGACAGATAAAGTTTTGATGAAGAATGTGTGCGTAATTTACCTCCTGCTAAGAGGACAAAACTGACTAATTCTGCCATGGCAACACAAGAGAAGCACCTCGTAACGCGACACCAGCTAATCCAAATGTTAGCGCTTCTAGTACTACTATCCATATAATCTAAAACCATAGATATATATCTATGAACAGGTTGACATGTTTACAGTGCTTTTTTTTTCTATGTGAGGAATTCAATTGTTTTTATGAAAAGTCACTGTTTGTGCCACTGGAGAATACATTTTGATGTGTTATGGTAGTGTTATCAAAAGTGCTATGGAACAGCAACTATTGCATATTTTGCTTTAATATTGGTTGTGCATACTTATAAGTGGTGTACCTTCCTTTGTGATGCATTTTGGATATACTATATCAAGAATTTTGGGATCAGCTTCTGGGTAAGTGGAAAAATTTGTTCATAATTTATTTACCTCTCAAATCAAGTCACTGTTTTCTCTACTAAATACTAACAGTATAATTGTTTGTTGTAGCAGTATGCTAACATTAATCCTTATCCATTTCATGTATGATATGTGTATGTTGCACATCAGCTGCAGTTGTGTGGTTTGTTTTAAAGTGCTGCATTTGTTAAAAGTCAAAATCATATTACCCCCCCTTGGGTCTCTGATGCAAAACCCCCTGGGACTCAAAGAGTTAAACAGCCAGTCATGAAAATTAGCTATGTTTTGGATCTAAATAGTTCTGTAATAGTTAACAAATGGAATTTATTTACTTACATCAATATAATCAGCATTGATGTAATCATCATGCGGATCATACCCATCAACATCTAGCACAACACGAGTATGGTCATCTGAAATTTTACACAGACAATTTATTTGTTATGAAAAAAATTATTTATAGCAAGAGATACATTCATAAGTTCTGATGATTACTCACATTAGGAAGGTTAGTTGTGTATCCTTTACAGGACGTTGCAGAACCAAACCCAACAGCCCCTGACTGTTGTGTGGTTTTTCTGGGCAAATTTATGTCCAGTAGTTTGTCATTTCTTATTGGGCGGTCGGCTTTCTTGATACCACTGTTGAAACTAACGCAAGGTGCATGACCCACAGCTGGGATCGAACGTGGCATCCTGCTGGCATCACGAAGCGTTCGCATCGACTTAGCCACAGAGCCGACCACATTAGGAAGAAACAGTTATAATTGTGTACTGATGAACAATATGAAAGGACCTGGTGAAAGTATTTTCTGTCAAAATGATCAGCAGTTTATCAGGGCTTGTAGAAAGAACACAGAGGGAAGATACAAAAAAAAAAAAAAGATGATCGGTAGTGGAATGTATCTAGAAGACATGATGGTGGAACACACTTACTTGTGCAAGTGCTAGATTATAATGATGAGTTTTTTCATTGACACTTTAACAAGTTAGTGAGAAACAGGTAGCCTGAGGTTAGGCACCAGTCTCACATTATGGGGATGAGTTCTGATCCTTGGAAGGCAAGGAATGTTAGATCTATAGAGATGAAATGAACACCTAACATAGTGACTGCTTGTTTGGTGGCCACATTCTTCAGCTCTCAGCAAAACACTCCTTGCAGATATAAGCAATGGAACAAAAAGTCAAAAGATAGTTTTTGTCTCTAAAAGTCAGTATTTTCACAATCTATTGCTGGAAGACACAGCAGAGACAACACTAAGCAAACTAAAATCCTTCATTAAAATTATAGGATTTTCTAATCTGAATTTTTTAAAGGGAAAAGTTTATAAAAGTGCACTGAAATACATTTTAATCTTGTGTTAAAATATTTTTTTCAACAACGTACAGGGATATTAAAAAATATTAAATCTTGCTTTTGCACCAACAAATACACTCAACACTGTTGACATTTCTTGACAAAATATCAGTTTGGACTTCTTTCTATTTGATATAATTTTCATTTATACAGCAATATCTTCATTTTTCTGTCTTCACTTCTTCAGTCTTTTCCCGAGGATTGCACCAGGAGAGCCTCAAGACTATGTTCCTTCTCATCATCATCAGGTACCTTGCCGACTGGCATGGGCGATCATGCCTCTCCATAATCTGCGATCTCCTGCAGTATGTATCAGTTCGTGTGCCGACACACCTCCATGCCATGCAACAAGACTGTCAAGCATCTTCTCTCATTGTCTTCCTCTATCTCTCCTTCCACATATCTTTTCAGTGGTCACAACATGTTCTATTTTCCATCTTCTCATAACATGGCCGAAAAATGATGACTGTCTCCTTCTGATGTCTGTGATAAGTTGTCTTCGGGCTCCCGTGTCTTTCAAAACCTCTTGGTTGTTCTTTTTGGCTGTCCAAGGTATTCTAAGCATTCTTCAGAAATTGTTTGGCCTGCCTACCGATTGTTCAGGATTCACAGCCATGTTAAAACTGGATGTATGTAGCAAGCAAGAATTCTTTTTCTAACTCTCAATGACAAGGATATATTGCACAAGATGTTTTTCATTTTATAAAATGCAGTTCCTTCTAGAACAGCTAAATATTGAAATGTCTAAACGCTAACCAGTGCCTTGTGGGAGAGCGTGTACAGTTCGGAGGAGCAGATGGATCATCACAGTCTGGTGAGATTGATGCAGGGGGGAGTGACGAGTTCTGGCAGATGCACAAGGTTCAGAGGAAAGGCAAGATGGACGTTTAATCAGAATGCTACTGGCACAATTAGTATCGGAACTCTTCGCTGGCTGCTGAAGATGGGGACGGAGCACTTATGGGAATGCCGCAAGTGCTGTGATGTGAATTCTTAAATCTAATCAAATCAAATCAATCCTTTGGTTATTTGGCCTGGCAATAGAAGAGGACATAATCCACTACATTATTTTCTCCACTAGTTGGTGTTCAATGTTTTCCATTTTGCTTGTTACCGTGTCCCACATATAGCATGGGATGTTACAAATTCAGTATCTTTCAGTTCTTTAGCCTAAATTTTTTAAAGAGATTTAAAAAAACAAAGACTACAACGATATATCAGCAAATATTGAACATAAAGGCTTCCATTATAGTGCCTTTACAGCCATTATTTGGGTTATGGATTAGCTTTCACTTTACAGTTGCTAAGAAAAAGGGTTATGAGATATTTTAACGTTGCAGTTAACATCTAAGAATGGAATGACAAAAATGTCATGCAAAATAAAATGTCTTAATAATTAAAAAAAACAAAAAAGTGAAAACAAAAACACAGGTGTTAGCATAATAAAATATATTTTCTCAGTAAGTAAAGATCCCTTTTCACGCCTATCGGCGCATCGGGCATATGGGCAGAGCGTCCCATATTTTTACAGACAATCAGCACTCGGTGTGTAATGTGGTCTCAGCATTACGCCGGCTGTCTTTACTTTCCCAGGACAGCCCATCCTGGTACCCATTTTAGGCTTGGATGACCTGCGACGCCCCGTACCATGATAAAAATCCACGCAGCCAGCAGTGGGTTTCGATCGCGGTGCGCTGGCTTACGAGTCGGACTCGCAATGCCTAAGCCACGGACGCCGCAAATTTTCTCAGTGCTCAGTCTCAATGGCTAGGTCATACCTAGAGAACAGAAGATGGTAGAATCCCCAAGGTATTCTTCAATGGTGAATTACAGAAGGATAAATGTTCTTGACATCAAGTCTCTACTACAATATACAGATGTGTGCAAGGGTGACATTTATGATGAAGTAGATTTATGTTGGAAAAAAGCCAAGGACTGGTTTGCATGGAAATGGAAAACCACGAAAGTAACAAATTGGGGGGAATGAAGGAGAAAAGACCCCAAATAGGTGGAAAACTAAGAGTCTGAAAAGGAGAACATTTAAAACATCAAATGGCAACAATAACCTTAAATTCCATGCTCTAACTGCGGAAGACTTTTCTTATCACAAGAGAGTTCTTGCTAATGACACTCATCATGGTCTATGGTCCATGGTCTATGATTCCTATTCTCCCAATAGCACAATATAACACTTACTCCCTAAAAGATAGAAGGGTTTTAACAAGCGCAACTGGAATGTAGTTTGTAGATGAAATTATTATTATTCATTGCATTTAGATCTCTTGATATTATGGCTGAAAATGTATATCGTGGCATAAGACTCTTCCAAAACCTTAAGATGTACTGGATAAAAGACAAATGATAGACTGTTTGATCAGTTTCATACTGCCAGCTTTCACTACGCAGAATATTTCTTGGTACTCCTTTTACAGTCAGTCGACCTGGGAGCCCATAAATATTTTAAACAATATTTCTGAGACATATACTTACATGCAATTATATTGCCATATCTGTTCTTCAGCTTGTTTTCATTTTTTCTTGCAGCCTCACATGTTGACGTAATTCCAGCAGGTAAAAGCTAGAATACAGAATGAGAGATATGTCATTATCAAATTTTGAATGTTGAATTACGAATTGACATCATAGCACTCGGAACAAACCCATAAGCGCTCCATCCCATCTTCAACAGCGAATGAAGAGTTCCAATTCCGATAGCACCAGTAACTGTCTGATTGTATATCCATCTCACCCTTCCCTTGAGTGCTGAGCATCGGCCAGATCCTCTGGTAACTCTTCGCAGTCTATTCTCCTCAGACCGTTATGATCTATTTGTGCTTCGGCACTGTTCAATCGCTCCCAGAGGGCCCTAACAATCTAGCTTGTCATTCATCAATTCACCACCAAGTGGTGCAGAACTGGCCAGTCTTTCTGTCTGCTCATTTCCCAACACACCGGCATTACCTGGAGAGAATATCCAAAGGATACTATCTACCCCGGGCCTCTGAAGTGATGCTTGCCAATCTGCAAGGAGCATACCTGTCTCCACCTTTCTCAACATACTTTGTGAGTCAGTGACAATCAAGGCTATGGGTACAGCTAATTCTCAAGCCAGCAGAAGGCAGCAGTGACTGCCTCCACGTCCATTCTCAAACCAGACGTTGTGATATCATATGCCAGGCTTTGCGACAACCATTCACCTTTGCTATTAACTCTCATGCACTTCATCTGCCCCTCAACATAGAGCCATCTGTATAGATAATCACATCACTTGGATGGGAATTGTCATGAATCATTTGTTATAGTTCTGATTCTGCAGCACCAACTGGCCAGACCCTGAACTCACGACCCAAAGTGATAAGAACCCTGCAAAACCCTGAAACTTGCTTGGACACTTTGACCCACTCCTCACCTCGCACAAATTTATCAAGCATGCACATACGTCTGATTGTGTCTTCAGATTGCACCATCCAAGACCTTCCTCTTTTCAGTCTGTGACCCTTAGATCTACCCAGAGCTTCATGCAAGAGGTGCTTCTTGTCTACAGCAAGTCTGAGATATGATTTTGCTTGCAGAACTTGGAGCCTATCTGCATTAGCATATATATAAAATGGCATACATACTACAGGAGTATATCTTGTACATCCCTGGATTACCTGCATGGCTTCATTCTGTATGCATTCAAGTTTCATTAGCTGACTCTTTGATATGGTAAGCATTGCAAGTCCATAATCAATCACCAACAGGATCACATGATGGAACATGTCCTTTTTTTTTTTTTTTGGCATTTCACTGCAACTGCCTCCAGATAATCCCTGAAGGACAGGCTTTTATCGAAAGTGATACCCAGATACCTAATTTTGCTTTCTCTTTTGATGTTATTGTTATTAATTGTGAGGTTTGGAACATTACTTTTCCAAAAACATATGTAGTTTAACAGTAATAATCTTCTCAAGTACCTTGCCAACAGTATTTTGTAGGGTGATAATCCTGAAGCTGCTGAGTCTGGAATGATCATTGCCTGGTTTTGGAAGAGAGATTAGGTAGCTGTGTACCCAGTCCTTAGGTACTGAAGCTGTTCTGATGCTCTGGTTGAAATGGAAAGCCCTCTCCCTCAAGTCTACATTACTCATACTCTTCATATGGGCATACCTCACTCCGCCTGGCCCTGGCGCAGGGTCTTTTGTTTTTTTGCAACAATGTCATTATCATCATAATGTGTCTTGCTGACTGACATGCTTCGCCAGATATTGCAATCTTCAACATTACATTAATGTGCATTCTGATATCTTTCACGGTAATTTTAAAAAAAATTCAACTTTAAAAAGACTGCTAAAAATCTTATTTTGATAACAATAAATGATGAAGAAATTGAAAATATCACAAACTTTGAATATTTAGGCTTCAAAATAAACAGCAACAAAGACTTTTCAACAGAAGTCAAAAGGAGGTTGGCTTTGGCAATATTAAGAATAAAAAGCAATTAAAGTCTCTGTTTAAGCAACAACAAGGAAATCAAAGTTAAATGTTTGAGAGCATGCATCTTCCCTGTAGCAGCAGAATATGGTTGTGAATCGTGTGTTACTTCTCAATGCTTCAGAAAGAAAACAGGGGTTTTTGAGCTGAAATGTCATAGAAAGATTCTCAGAATATCATGGACGAAGAAGAGAAGAAATAATGACATTCTAAAAGATCTGAGGTTTGAGGTGTTAGGTTTAAACAACGGATTAACATCATGGCACAAGGGTAGTAACCCATAAGTGCTCCGTTTTACTAAAGTCTAAGTATGAAGTAGCTCAGCTCAGTGCACGGCCTCTATAGCGAGGATTCTGAAATATTTTTGGAAAATTTTGAAATCAAAATTTTGCCCGGACAGCGCCGTTAGGCTACTCTTTTTGATTTCCAACTGCTGGGGAATTTTTTACATGAGCAACAATACACATGGGCGTCTGATCTCAATAACCAGAGACCAGGGAAAATTAATAGAAGTCAATGTGAAAAAAAATTCCAGCACTTAAAGCGGACACCATAACTCAAGACCACCCCTTTTTATGAAAGGAGTGAAGTATAAATGTAAAAATAATAGAGGAATATCATTATTATCCACAAGATACCATCAGCGATACTGCTAAACAGGCTTAAACCAAACGTCAAAGACATTTTGGGAGATTACCAAGCGAGTTTCCAAGACAGCAGATCAACATAGATCAGATATTTATTTTACTGCAAATAGCAGAGCAAAATTGGGAATTTAAAAGAGATGGATCTGAGGTTTTTGTGGATTTTAAAAAGGCGTACAATTGTGTACATAGAAACAGTTTAGGAATGCTATAAAGGACTTTAGAATACCAAAGAAGTTAATTACCATGAACAAACTATGTATGGAAGACTCTTATAATACAGTAACATATAAAGGCAGAAAGTCAGATCCTTTTTCAAATAACATCTAGTTTAAAGCAAGGTGATGCTCTGTCCCCACTTATTTTCAACTTGGCCCTGGAGAAAATTACAAGGAAACTGAAACAAGAGTGTACTTTATGAGAAACTTGGTTATGCAGAGGACATTGAAATCATTGGAGAAAATGAATTGGAGAGTGTAAAAACACTGACTCTCTTAATAGAAACAGCTCAGAAAATGGGACAAGTTATTAATCCCAACAAGACAGAATGCATGGTAATAAAAATACAGGGGAAGGATATAAACTCCAGCCACATACAAGACAATAATATGAAAATGAAACAAACGGAAACATAAAAAAAAATATGGTAGAAAATTTTCATGCAGGATTCCTATAGCCCTCAAAATGTCCCAATGCACTGTACTTAAACTGTTACTAGTGGCTGTATAGGTCAGTGGAACAATCATGGCTTCTGTAAATATTTCAGCTGTTTCATGTCAATTAAAATTAAATATCACCAACTTTGAATTCCTTTTTTAATCCCTCGAGATCATCCAGCTTGGCTGTCCTAATGTAATCCCACAAGTCCTCCACTTTGATTGGCGGTATAATTTCACTGGTGTTTAGGTAGGCTGGTTGTGTGTCTAGAACATCTGAGCATGCATTCTCAATAAGTGGCTCGGCTTCACCATTTTCTGCAATAAGTATCAAAATCATAACAACACTTCAAAAACTAAAAACAGTAAAAACAAGTAATGAAATAAAATATTAAATGCTTACTGAGTATTTAAGATGCTGTTCATTTTAGTTATAATTACAAATAATTATGAAACTAAAATGAACAGCATCTGAAATACTCAGTAAGCATATTTTACATACCTGGGGAGTACGATATCTTAGGGGATTCAGCGCCAGAAATAACATCTAGAATCTCACTGGCATCTAGTGCCTTCAAAAAAACTGTCAAACATCTGGAAGTCAAAGACATTCAGCAAACACACAAAACTTAAGATCTTCAGCTACCTTATGGATGCAAGAGTTGGAAAGCAACAGTAACTATAGATTAAAAAACAATTATACAATTTTGAGAACAGATGTCTTGAAAGAATACTCCACTGGGCAGATTTCAGATCCAATACGCAAATAAGACAAGAGACTAAGCAATATAATATATCCAATTTATAAAAAAGCACCAGCCATGCACTCAGAATGGATAAGTCAAGACTTCCCCATCAAGCCTTCAAAAGGACACTTGAAGGGAAAAGAAAACGAGGAAGCCTAAGAGGGACTCTATTATCAAGGTATGCTCAGCCAAAGGCCTAATGAACATCCAAGACCTAAAACAGGTGGCAATGAACCGCCAGACATGGAGAGCTATGACCTTCGCCCTTTGCGCCACCTTTAGGCTCAAGAGTAACAGATTAACCAACTAAGTATATTTCACAGTAAATATAAATATTTACAAATATGGATATTAGGCTGCAGTCTTTGTCCATAAGTTCTAAGCTCTGTTTTTTTCTTAAAAAACTAAAGAAAATTATAAAAGCGAGATGATTCCTTTAAATTGTGTAAAAACAGTAAAACTTTCTCTTACGTATAATTACAAAGTATAATAATTTGTTTACACATGTCAGGTGCCAGTTCAGCCTACAGGTAAACTAGCAGGGATGTGTATGTTTGTCACCTGTGTGTACCCAGACACAACCTCAAGGTTAGACTATTACGAGAAACGAGGAGAAGTCATGATGACTGAACTCTACCTGTAAAATAGCCACGAGGGATGCTAAGCGAGGGAAGTGAACAAAAACGCTAGACAGAGTGAGCTCTTGATGTACAAACAGGCGAGAGTGGACTTGCATGTGACGACGATCGTTAGCTGTTAATGTTTTTTCCACCAGTTAGTGACAGACCATTAAGTGTATTGTGTGATTAAGACATAGTTGTGAAGCAGTTATTCAGCTGTAGCATTCTTTAGGGATTAAAACTGTTTGCGCAGAACCTTTTAGGCAGTTAGGTACAGTTATTATGCATTGATTGTGGCACCACCACACATACCCTTGCAGAATAGGGATTGTCATTACTACAGCCAGCTAGGGGACCATCTTCATGCTTACAACATGCTTCTATGTTGGCAATGCAAGAGAATTTCCTTTCTCTACAATCTCCAATTAGAATTTCTGTGTGATCATTCCTTCTTCCCCAATATGATTTCTGCTGTCTTATTTTCCTTACTCATCCTCCCCAGGATTGCTCTTAGCTATATATAGATTCCTAAAATATTTTTTTTGCATTCCAAATATTGCAGCTGATTGGAGGATTCAATTTCTTTGGCACGTCTGCTGGAGTTTCTTCTCATTTCTCTGCCACCTAATTTTAAGTTGTTTATTTGTTTCAAATACTTCCCTCCATTATTAACCCTTTCGCTGCTACGTTCCAGGCCGTAGCTGTCTGCCCTGAGCTAAGCAATGTGGAAAAAAAAGTCTCTGCTGTGCGCAATACTTTTCTATCCTCCAGACGCAAAAGATGCGTCGGCGGTGAGGGCTATATTATTTACACCTACAAATTTTTACCCTGGGGAGTTGTGTGGTTGGTCCGAGTGGTGACAAGTCAGAGGCAGGATGGTGCCCCACAAACTTGACTAATGAAGCTATCACCCCCTGGGGGGTGGTGGGAAGGGGGAGTGGGGAATTAATGGGAAGAACTGTTCCCAGTCCGTATCTCAAAATTTGATAGACGAACCTACCACGGCTTCCACTTTAATCATAGTTATTTGTAGTAACCATGTTATTACCCCAAAAAAATAATAATAATAATAAGACTTAAGTCATCCGTTGCTGAAAAGTAGCAGGAACTGAAAGGAAAATTTACAATAATTTAAAAAAAAAAAATAAGAAATTGGGGTGTTGAACACACGGCCCTCCGATTCTAAGGCGGACGTGATACCAACTACACTATACTACTGCTTCACTGCATTAAGCTGCGTGAATGATGATAATGAATTATGTGCGCACTATCAATACTGTGTCTAATTTTGTAGTCTATTGCCGCCTGCATGATCACTGTTGTCTGAGAAATGTAACATTCTCAACAAAGGTAAAAAATCTGGGCTCTCCTTGCAGATCCGGACGAGGGTTGGCCGCACTCGAAACAAGTGGCGGAAAAAGTCACGAATCAAACAAGACAGTGAGGTCAACATCAGGGCTGCCAATGCTTGGGTGTGTCCCCCAGATCTGTTTTTTTTTCCCTACACTGCGGGGATATTTGGTTTTTTGTTTGTTTTTTTTTGTTTTGTTTTGCCGATCTGTATGCTTTAATGACCGATAAATTTGCGTGGTTAAGGGTAGGGGTAGGGGTAGGATTAGGGTTAGGGTTAGGGTTAGGGGTAGGGTTAGGGGTAGGGTTAGGGGTAGGGGTAGGGTTAGGTTTAGCGTTAGATGTGACAATTTTGACGCCGTAGTTCCCTATAATCGCGCACAGTCACATACACACTCAAACAGTCGACGGACGGTGGATGCTACTGACACGGACAATTCGCCACCGATTGGGCACCAGCCACCCGCTATTGGCGTCATATTTGGCAGAATTTCAGTGGCGCCACTCCCACAAGCATCAGATTGTCGGCCACTATTTCGACCTCCTACGTGAAAATTTTCACATCTAACCCTAACTCCTAACCCCTAACCCTAAACCTACCCCTAACCCATAATCCTACCCCTAACCCTACCCCTAACCCCTAACCCTAACCCTACCCCTACCCCTAACCCATAACCCTAACGTTACCCCTAACTAAAACCCCTAACCCAAACGCTACGCAGCACTACACGCAACAGTATGATGACAACGCAACCCTTCAGGCAACCGTATGATGACTACGCAACCCTACACGCAACGGTATGATGACTATGCAACCCTAAACGCAATGGTACGCAACCTTACACGCAACCGTATGATGATAGGTAAGTATGTCATTTGTTTCGTGGACCTTTTCCGCCACTTGTTTCGAGTGCGGCCAAGGGAGAGAACTCCCACTAAACTGAACTAAGTCGTCCAGCCCACGTCCAACCTTCGTCCGGATCTGCAAGGAGAGCCAAAATCTGTCCCTCGACATTATTTCATGGGAGTTTTTAGCAAACAGTCTTTGCTCAAGTACTCTTTTTTGAGGTTCTTTGTTCTAAGCATTAGCAGACAGACAGCAAAAAAAAAAAAAAGTTAGTCTGAATCTGTGTCTGTCCATCGGGAAAGACGAAAATTTATAGTGACTGAACTGTTTGAATTTACAGTAGCAGAAATACAGCCAGAGCAGAAGTCATCAAAATTGTGCACTACTGGTATCAAATCGTCGGTTGACCAAGACAACTGATACATTTTTTGCCATTTTGATGGCGCTTCATTTTTGCTGCTTTCTTATTCCGATGATGAGGACATCGGACAGGCAAACAGCTTTTTCTTGGACATGCTGGTTTGAGCCGTCGATATTGATGACCTAGTCAAATCTTCTTGTTCACTGTCAGAAGTACACATTTCAAAGTCATCTTCGCTATCACTTTTTGACAGAAACTCCATCAATTCTTCATCAACTTCAAAGTGTTCTTGACATTTAGTACTATCGAAGTGTAGAATAATCCAAACCCACAAATATATATTAGGGCACAAAATACACAGATCACCGACCACGCTGTCACGGTAAACAAAGCAATGGGATAACGCGGAATGCAGTAAATACACCTTAAACGCACCTAAATGCATGTGCCAGTGCTTTTAATCGTATGTAAATGGGTCAGTTGAATCTAAATAAAGCTAATGTATATTGCCCTTTGGCTCATGAGACAAGAGGTCACAGAAATCTGTAAGGAAAGTCAAAAAAGGGGTTGGTACGTCCATAGCACAGGGGGTCAGAAAAAAAAATAACGTCCAAAGACGGGCGTAGCAGCGTACGGGAAAACAGGAAAAGTCGTCCATAGCAGCGAAGGGTTAAGGCGGCCTATATTTCTGGCAGGCAATTTAGAGGGACATTCAGATTCATCTGGTGATAGGCTGCTCGCATAAAATTTATATGATTATCAAAGCACCAAGTTGATTAATTTCATATATTATTTTGTTAAAAACATGGGAAAAAAAGCAGATATTTTTGATTGTCTTAGAATATTTCACATTTGGTTGTGCATGCATGCATATATGCAAACAACAAACAAGTAATTTGGAAATCTCTCAACAAATGATTTACTTATTCAAAGCATTCTCAAATAACTCTGTAAAATCTTTAGTGTCCTCAACAGTTGACTGACCCAGTAAAATGCTTTTTCTAATAAATGTAAGATACAGTATATTATCATATAACCAACTTTTCTGGCAGACGTCATTTTTTTAAAAAGTCTTTTTTCTCTTCTCCTTCTCTCTTTCTTTTTTTTACTTTAAATCACTTTATATAAGTTTATGCACAGTATTAAAGTGCTTTTCAGATTCTATTTCTCTTAAAATCAGTATCATAATATTGTTCTTGAGTCTGTATGTCATTAGTTAGTCATTCGCTGAGGTTCCATTTTCACTGCAGAGAGAGTGGCAAGTATCACTTCATAGGTGCCAGGTAGTTAGCATCCTTTGGATATTTTCTCCAGGTAATGCCGGTGTGTTGGGAAATGAGCAGGCAGAGAGACTAGCCAGTCTGCACCACTTGGTGGTAACCTGATGTATGACAGGCTGGATGTTGTGTTGACCTTTTAGGAGCAAGTTCAGAGGAACAGACAGATCATTACGGTTTTAGGAGAATGGCACTGCGAGGAGTTACAAGGGGATCTGGCCGACGCTCGACACTAAGGGGAAATGTGAAATGGATATACAATCAGACAGTTACTGGTACCATCAAAATTGTAACTCTTCGCTTGCTGCTGAAGATGGGGACAGAGTACTTATGGGGGTGTCCCAAGTGCTGTGATGTCAATTCTCAATTCAACATCTTCACTGCAGATGGGTTGCCCCATAACTACTTCAATAATGTGCCAGTAGAAATCCAAGTCTATACACTATACAAGTATTCTAAATTTCCTCATAAATTCCACAAAGTAAAAGATTAAAAATACTGCATCCAATCTTGGAAATAGCATATGGTCTTACCAACAGGGGTAGGTAGTGTAGATGTCTCTGGTTCTGGTATGATTGTGGGTCCAAAGGATGGGATTTCTGCCTTTTCTCTCTCTTCTGCAGTGTGTCTTCTTCTGTATAAGATGAGGGGAAAGTGAACAAATAACAAATACAAATTTGTAGTATATTTGGGAGGTTTACCGAGTTACTAAGTGTTTGTTTGAAAACAATATGGCCACTGAGCAGCATTCTACATGCTTGCCAACACAATTTACGGCTTTAGAAGCCTCAAATTGAAATAAAGCATGTGTTTATTAGATTTATCCAAAGTTAGATAGATAAAGTTGCAAAGTAGACTTGTTTCAGTCATTTATAGAGTCAAACTTTGATGAGGGATAGGTCTAATGTGTACCTCATGTGAAGGGTACAACGATAGAAAGTCAGCTGACACAAATTTAAAAAATGCTTGTGAAAAGGCGATTTATTTCTGTGTCAGTTAGTTCCAGTGCTATTCGCCTTATTATTTAAGAACATAGCTACAAAATTACAGGCAAACTAAGTGTTATGTAAACTTTATTTTGTGTGATGATACTCTTTTGTAAAGTCAGTTTTCTTATCAAATAATGGTGATCTGGTATATATACAATATACTTTCACTGCCTACTACTGCAGACAGGCTCAAAGTTCTGCAAGCAAAGTTACATCTCAGAGTAGCTGCAGACAAGAAGCACCTCCTGTATGAAGCCTTAGGTAGAGACTGAAAATTTGGGTGAGTAGAGGAGTGGGTCAAAGTGTCCAAGCAAGAATGAGATTTGGGCAGTTTTCTAATCACTTAAGTCACAAATGCAGCGACCGGCCAGCTGGTGCTGCAGAATCAGAACTCACAAATGATTTATGACAATTCCCGCCCAGGTGATGTGATTATCTACATAGAGGCAGACGAAGTACATAGGGGTTCATAGCAAAATTGAACAGATGTTCCTTAGTGCAGCAAAGCCTCGCATATGATATTACAAAGTCTAATTTGAGAATGGAGGTGGAGGCAGTCACCGCTGCTTTCCGCTGCCTTGAAAATCAGCTGTACACTCATGTCCTAACTGTCACCGACTCACAGAGCTGATGTGTTGGAAAACAATCAGGCAACGTGACTGACCGGTTCTGCACCACTCAGTGGTGAAGTGGTGTATGACAAGCTTGATGTTGCGAGGGCCTTACTTCTTTTCCTTTTTTTAATCGAACTGTTTGTTCTTTCTGTTTAAAGTGGACACAACAAGACATTCTTCTGCAGTGGTTTGAATTATATTCTTAATATTCATCCAGGTTTAATCATTCTCCTCTGACGGATTTGGTAAAATTTCAGTTTTATGTTTTATTTCATCTGCAAATTTTTCTGATAGGGATGTTTGTTGTAATCTTTTTCTGTTGTACTCTAGATGTGATCTTTGCAACTTAGTGTAGAATCATCTCTTAAGCTTGATTTTTAATTCTGGGCCAAACAGGTAGTGGTCACAATGGCACACAGCTGCTCTGTAGTTTCTAACTTGTATGTTTGATGCATTTATATTTATATTTTTTTTTTAAATGTTATCTTGTTACATAATTTCATATCTGAAAAAAACAAAAACAATAAGCCTGATAATGGAAAAGAGTCCTTGATTATACTTCACTTCTTCCTAATGAATAACATTATGAATGTAAAAAATAATATAATTAAATATTTTAAATTCTTACCTCCATATCAATAAAAGGACTGCTAAAATGGCAATAAGGAGTATGAACACAACAATCACACCAACAATGACTGGAACTGAGCTTGCCGAATCTGTTGCTCTCATGGATCTTGCTGTTATAAAAGTCAGTATTATACAAGTGTTAAATTATGTCTTTATTAACAATTAGTTGTGAACATGTAAATATCAAAGCACTGCAGGATACTAACTAATTCAGAAAACAGATGACTGCCAGCATCAGGACAACACGATACAACTTTGCTGCTCACATTAAGAAATGCAGAGGTCCTGAAAACATTCTGACACCTGAGTAGATTGAGGATGCAAAGAAAAAGGTTCAGAAGTGTACAAAATGCTGGCAGAATGGTAAAAAAAGATAATCAGTGGTAAAACTTAAACACTCAAACAACATTCTTTTAGGCTTCCTGTCAACTATCGCGGTGGACAGTAGTATTTTTTTTACCGTTTTTTTCCCTGTAAAAGATGGATATTTTCACCTCTTATGTGTAAGTATGTTTTCCAAGATGTAAACCACAAGGTTTTTTTTTTCTCTAGTAGTAACAATTAAGATTATAGTTTTTCTCAAGGTTTTGGCCAGTGCTACAGATTTTTTTTTGCATCTGTGTGAAACCATCCTTTTGAGTTTGTCTTTCAGTGTGTGTGTTTGCCAATAGTGTGACATGATTTTTTAATCCCCATCCAGCAGACTAGAGTCTGTGCTTCACACAACACAAACAAACCTCAAAATTAGTATGGTCAGTGAAAACAACAAGGCCAGTAAGCTGGAGCCAGAAGAATACTGCTCAGATATATCCGCCTGAGCCTAAAATATATTCAAATTATATACTGGAATTGTGTAAATGCAAAACAATGAGGTCCCATTCTGAAACGCTTGGCATATAACAATGATACTGGAGACAAGACTGGGTAATAACACACTTCACCTGGCTGACTTTAATTGTTTGTACACCTGGGTTTGGCCATACGTGTTCAAGACAGTATAGTAGCTTCAGAGGTGCATATATCTAGGGGGAATGTGTCTACAGTGACCTGCAAGGGTTCAAGAAACAGCCAGCTGAAAAGTGCAGGCAGGCTAGAAAGAAATAAGTTGCAGTAGGGAGAAAGAAATTGAGTTGTGAAGAATCAACTCACATGAGTAACCATGCTATCCTTCTTTGTATTATAATGAAGATGAAGACTTGAGGAAATGCAAGGATATCAGGTAATGCATAATACAAAACACTAAAGGCAAGCTGCTGAAGAATAAAACTGCTAGAAAAATATCCTGCCATCTTAAGCAGTGATATCCTCTTACACCCACCCATGGGGCCATTCTGTGGAGAGAGGTTGAGCCATGTGAGACACATAACGCTGATCCCCTTGACTTTGACTATAAAAGAAGGCAGCTAAGATGATTACATTCACAGATAAAGCAAATTTAAGGTTAGGTAACTACCAAACAAACATTTCTGACATTAAGGTACATATATTACATTTTGTTACTTGACATTAAATGCAAACATTTAACAAATTCAGCAGCATTGTGGTACACTGGTACCTCTGAGAAATTTGGGAGAAGCTAGCTTTAGAAACAAAATCTCAGAAAAGCTTTCTATTATTAATTAAATATCATATTCTTCTTCTTCTGCATTTATCTACAGATGTAATTGTGTCCTGTCCATTTATAGCATGGCTGCAATATTTGCACCTTTCTGCTGACACATCTGATTTCTGCACTTGTGCAGGCATTTGTCTACCAGGTTAACTTTCTACAGTTAATTACATATTATCATGCAGAACTTACAGCTAATAATCCACAATTTGTATTTACAATTCAGGTTCATCATGGTACACATTCAAATAAATTATCTACAGTTAACTGACAGGAATGAATTTCATTTGTTAACAATTTCATTTTTAAAATGCATGTCCCTTATTCCTGATTTGACATTTATAACTTTGACTTATTTTCTGCCGGAACAGTTCGACCATGAACAGTTTATCAAAATTTAAAAAAAATAAGTGAAATTCTCATTATGATAAAGACCTGATAGATATTATCTACATGTTTAAGGAAAATTATTATTGTTAGCTGTGACTTCTGCTTGAAACATTAAAAACATAGTGTCAACATTACCTACAACAGGCCTGTCTGTTTTCACAAATACTCGTTGCACCATCTGTTGATTAAGAAATAATTTTTCTACAAACGTGTTTTAAACTTTAACATGATAAATAACAAATAGTTATGTTTTACATTTCCACATATCTATCCATTTATTCTCTATTTATTCTCTTGTTAACGCATTTTACATTAACTCTTTGAGTCCAAAGGAACGCATCATACGTTCACAGGTCCCGCCTAGAGGTGCAATGAACTCAAGAAGCGCAGATTTTACATCTTTTTTGACTACCCCTTGGGCCTCTGATGCTAAACCCCTAGGACTCAAATAGTTAAGAAGAATATCACTGTACCAGATTTTGATTACCAACTGATCACACTACCATTCTTCAGTCAGAGTGAGACAAGTTTATTGATAAGTTCAAGAGTAGGTTTTCCGATGCATGATGTTGTCCATGGGAGAAGCTATTGTAACTAATGTTAAAAAAATAAAGTCATCACTAACAGTGATTTTCCTGTCTGTCAAGAGTTGGCCTGGTATAATACTTCCTGCCTAGTAAAATATTTTTACATCATCATCATCATCTATTTCCACTTGTCATCACCTCTTTCAGTCCCACAGAGTTTAGCATCAGAGGCTCAAGGGACAGTCAAGAGAGATGTAAAATGGGCACATCTTGCATTCATTAGGCTTCTAGGTAGGAACCTATGAATGCATGATGAGTTCCTTGGGACCAAAGAAGTTAAGCAACATGGGGAGGAACAGTTTGTGATCGATTGTTTGATGGGCAGTAATGGCTATTGTCATTCTGTGTTGATGTAGAAGCTCTTTAATGTCATCGATTCATGCTCTTATAGGGCGGCCTCTTGCTTTGACTTCAGATCTTTTCATGTATAGCACCTGCATTGGTAGTTGTTCTGCTTGCATTCTTATTAGATGACCAAACCATCTGATCTTCTATTTCCTAATGAATTTGCTACAGTCTGATATTATCATTTCTAACTTAGACATTTAAATTCTTTAATTTGTTTTTCAGAAGTTCAACAAATAATTAATGACAATTCTGACCCAAGTGATGTGATTATCTGTACAGATGGCTCTGTGTTGAGAGGCTGATAAAGTGTATAGAGGTTCTTAGCAATTATGAACGGACCTTACTTAGTGCAACAAAGCCTGGCACATGATGCCACAAAATCTAGTTAATGAATGTAAGTGGGGTGTCGCTGAAGCCTTTCACTGGCTTGAGAGCCAGCTCTGCACACATGTTGTAGCTTTACCCTAATTGCAGAGCATGCTGACAAAGGTGGAGGCATCTATGCTCCATGCAGAGTGGCAAGCATTGGTTTAGAAGTTCTGGGTAGCTGGCAGCCTTTTTATATTTTCTCAGTCATTGTGTGTTGGGAAATAAACAGGCAGATAAACTGGCTGGTTCTTGACCACTTGGTGGAGATTAAAGCATGACAAGCCAAATGATGTAAGGGTCTTTTAGGAGCAGGTGAACAGTGTGGAGGCACAAAGACAGCATTACTGTCTGAGGAGAATGATGCTGCAAGGAGTTACCTGGAGATCTGGCCGACACTCAACACTCAAAGGAAAGGTGAGACAAATATACAATCAGACTGTTACTGGCACCATCAAATTTGGAACTATGTGATTACTGCTGAAGATGGGAACGAAGTGCTTATAGGAATGTTCTGAGTGCTGTGATGTCAATTCTTGATTAAACATTAAACATAGAGAAAAAGGACAACTCCAGCAACATACAAATGGGTTATAAGAAAATCGAATTAATAGAATTATAGAAGTACAAACTTCAACTGCTCTAACACATAAAGAGAAGAATTACAATCTAGAAAACAGTCTGAAAAAAAATTATGCGATGCCTAACAGCATCTACTAAAATCAAATCCTCTGTCTCGTAACACCAAGATCACAATATACAAAACACCAGTAAACCCAGTGTTATGTATGTCTCTCAAATATAGAGTACATTTAAAAAGTATGAAGCTTTATTACACACTTTTGAGTCTTATGATGAATCTCTGTACCCATCAGAGATGCTAAAAGTGGAGAATTAGAGAGTGAAAAACGACCAAGTTCATAATCTGCTTAAATCACTACTAAATACTGGTATATAAATGTTAACTGGCCGTTGAGGGAAACAGTGAAAATAACAAAGAGACCAAACTCTACATAAAATTAAGTAGAACAGGAGTAGACCATGATCAGACCAAAAATATTGTAGAGAGAAAATACAAATGCAAACCTACACACACTTGGAGTCACTAGCTGGACTTCGAGCACACCTGTACAGGATAGGCATAAAAGAATCTGCTGCCTGTGATTGTGCAGCAGAAAGACAGACCCCTGAGCACATACTGCAGTACTGCCCTTACCTCTCCCAGCAAAGACTGTGGATCTGGCCCAGGGAATCCACATTGCAAGAGAAGCTATGAGGGACAGGTGGCGACCTTAAATGCACAATCCTATTTTTTACCCAGACGGGACTCAATGTTTAGCATGACTGATATTGAATGCAGAAGAAGAAGAAGAAGAACTAGCTGGACAGAGAAAGTCAGTCAGACAGATGAATGGAGGTGGGGAATATCTGCAGCAATGAACCTCAAGGACTTCAAATGCCCAAGAAGAACATTATTTAAACAATTCTAACAATGAAGTTTGACTGTCTTTGTGAAAGCAAATGTTATTTAAATATTGCAATAAAGTGCAGCAGAGCATACCCCATCAATATCTGAGTAAACTCCAAGCCAGAATATGTATTTCTGATTCTGCTGCAGTGGTCCATTAAAGTAGCCATTATAGGTCTTATTATCTCCAACAACAAAGATTCCACTTAGCTGACCAGGAGAAAGCTGAGCTGTGATATAAGAATTTTCACCATCACGTAATGCCGTCTGAAAATCTCTTGAAATAGCTGATATGTACTGTGGGACATGACGTTTCTTCCTGCTTTTTTCCTGATCAGAATCAATCTTTTCAACTATAATGCGGTAGTAACTGCAAAAGAAATATTTGTTGCATAAGTTGTTGTAAACAATAACCAAAGGGAGAATACAATCCAATACATGCCAACTATTGTAAAGTGTTCATATCAAGATCATCTTTATCGCAAATTAGATATGACCATAAGTGCTCCGACCTCCTCCTGAGTATTTCTCCAAGTGTTTTAAGGTTGAAAACTCCTATTCTGTTCTGGCTGATGTAATGATGGGTGGCGCCCACATGGTTTTCCTGTCTTGCTGTTCCAGCTGCTACACCTAGGCTATGCCGTCTATTCAGTGACAAATTATTTTCCACGAAATAAAAGCCTCACAGTGTTTAGTCTCTTGTATGGCAGTGATGATGTCTCTCAGGTCCATAGATGGACAATTCCTGATAGTCTGTTCTTTCATTGCATTTCATATCACAATGCCCTAGGACAAAAATGAAGGTGATTTTGTGAAACGCTGCATGCTGAATCAGATGGAGCTATTGTTTCTGTATGTAGACCAACTTAATCTTCTGTAGCATGCTCAATGAGTTGCTTAGAAAACACACATTGGTAAACTCATGGGTTTTCAGCCATTCTAGAGCCCTTGTCACAGCTATGACCTCCTGTGTCTAGCTGCTGGTGGTAGAAGCAAAGTCTCCATGGCTTCTTTTATGACTTTTCCTTTAGTTCTTGCCAGGAAAGCCCGTACACTTCTTGTCTGATGAATCACAGACCCATCTGTATATATAACAGTATCTTCCAGTGATGTGTGTTCCTCTATCAATGCTTTCATTTCTGCACCAGCTGTTGGTGGTGCCAAACCACAGCACTGTCTTGTCAGGGTGATAACCAGCACAAAGTACTGCTTGTATTCATTTGGTGTGGGAATCAATTCCTCTCTACGGTTTATGTCTTGAAGGGAAATCACCCAATGATGTACTGTCTCTGCGCAGCCCAACCAAGACTGGCCTCATTTAAGTCTTTCGCTTTTACGTTTTATGTGTATTCAGTTCCCAGTGCAATGGATGTATAAAGACCTCAGTGATTTTGAGGTCATGCTGGTGTGTTGGAAAATGTGCAGGCAGACTGGCTGGCTCTGCACCACCTGGTGGTGAATTGATGTATGACAAGTTAGATACTGTGAGGGCCTTTTGAGAGTGAGTGAACAGTGAGGAGGCGCAGATAGATCATTGCGGTCTAAGGAGAATGACGCTGTGAGGAGTTACCAGAGGATCATGCCAACGCTCAACACTTAGGGGAAGGATGAGATGGATATACAATCAGAGAGTTACTGGTACCATCGGACATTGGAACTCTTCGCTTACTGCTGAAGATGGGGACTGAGCGCTTATGGGAGTGTCCTGAGTGCTGTGATGTCGATTCTTAATTCAACATTCAATGCAGAGAGGGCTTTTTAGTGTGTACTATGTGACTGTTCAAAGAGAACTAAGTTGCAGTCACATCTGCAGGGTTAATCTTAGCTCCTGAGGTTTGACACCAATCTGCTGTGCATCCCAAATCTTGCCCTTGTTTTTGCCTTGGCAGTACACTCGTATGTCATCAGCGTATAAAAGTGTTCTTCTTTCATCTGGGATTTGATATTCTGTCACATCTACAGATGATCAAGGTGGGCTATATACAGAAACAGTGGCTACATCTGATACAGCACACAGCATTTAACAAAATCACCTTTATTTTTGTCCCAAGGTACTGGTGTAAAGGGCAATTTTTGACAGGAGAAACATCATCAATGCCATAAGACCAAATTCTGCTAGGCTTTCAGTTTCGTGAAAAATTATTTTTTACTGAAGAGACTGCATACCCTGTGTGTACCAATTGGAGTGGTGAGACAGGAAAGTAAGCAGGAACCACTGGTCATTACATCAGCCAGACCAGAATGGAAGTTGTTAGCCTAAAGACACTTAAGAGAAATACTTAGGAAAATATCGGATCACTTTTGGTTATGTCCGATGTGCAAAGAAGATGATCTTTAAAATGAACTATGAACGAAGAACCACGACCGGCTCCAGCTGACAGGCTGTGCTGCTGACAGGCTGTGCTGCTGACAGGCTGTGCTGCTGACAGGCTGTGCTGCTGACAGGCTGTGCTGCTGACAGGCTGTGCTGCTGACAGGCTGTGCTGCTGACATCACAGAGTCTGGCTAATGATGTGTTAATGCAACGGTTCTCAAACTGGATGCCGAGGCACCCCGGGGTGCCGTGAGCGTATGCCAGCGGTGCAGCGGCAATAATCAAAAAATTATTAAAGAAGGCATCTAGATACTTAAAATTTAAATTGTCTTCCCTCGCCACTGTCAAAAGTAGTTTATTTTTTGTTTGAGAACCACTGCGTTAACGCATCGTTAGCCCGACCCGGCGACGTCAGCATTATGGCCTGTCAGCTGGAGCCGGTCGTGGATGAAATAACCAGAAAAAATTAGTAACCATAGAAATTTGATGTCTGAGAAGGGTTGCAGGAGTCACTCGAGGCTGGCTTCAGTTGGCCACCATGAATGCTGTTGCCAACATCCTACACTTCACAATCAATATACTTTTAAAAATTCTGGATTTAAACCTCATCCGCCAGTTTTTTTTTGTATCTGGAGAATAATGCTTCATGCATGACTCTCTTCTTATCATCATCATTATTATCAATTTCCACTTGCGTTAAGTGTTGTGGGGAGGGACAGTTTGTGATCCATTGCTTGCTGGGCAGCAATAGCTATTGACATTTCTTGTTGATGCAGAAGCTCTTTCCTGGCACCTGGAGAGCAGCGTTATCAGTGGTGAAATCTTGCACTTCTTAAGAGTTTCAGACCTTGTACATTATCAACCTCCACAGCAACAATGACCTATAGCTTCTAACTTGCATGTTTGATGCAATTCCATTATTTATTAAAATAAGGTCTGTTTGATTCTCTTGCCACATGATTTCCAAATCTGTTTATGTCTGTATTTTCTTTAAAATCTAGTATTGCACTGCAACATGCCTTTCGCTACTCGTCATCCTGATGTCCCATTATACATCATGTAGGCCTCACAGTCTAGTCCTGCCTTCCCATCTTTCCTGCACAATCCTTTAGATATCATGGATGAAATCCAGTTAAAAATCTTTGGCTGCTCTCAAAAATGTGTGTGTTAGGGTTCAGTTAGGATGTCCTTGTGTGCCCAATCCATATGTTTCCTATTTCAATGGTTGTGTGGGGTGGTAGCTTTTTTGGTCAAATTTGATTGGGGGGAAGGGGGTGGAGGTGGGGGGGGGGGGGGGGTTGTGGAGGAATAAACAGGCTTTGATTTGTCATGATCCCCTTATTATAAAAAAAAAGGCTAAACATAGTGTACATGGCAACATACATAATGATTAAAATTAATTATCTTTAGAATCATATAACAGACAATATGTGTGTCTGTAAAACTGTAAAATATTGATATTACTTTTATAAATTATGATGAGATGATCAGGTAAAGTAGTGGTTATCACATCCACATTTTATTGTGTGTAAATATATATATATTTTTTTGAATTGTACATTTTTAGTTTCACTGTACTCAACACTTTCCACCATGAATTATCCAAGTAATAACAGGGTGACTAAAGTGAGAGCCATGATATCATACTGGTTAGAGCCGTGTTTCTAACCTTAAGTGCTACTATCCCATTGTAGATACTGAGGCAGTAGAGGAAGTAGTAGCTTTATTAAATTTGGAGTTGGGGTGCCAAATCTGACTTGTAACCCTGAATCAATGGATGGGGGGTGGTAGAGGGAGTAGAAGCCTTTCAGATCAGTTTTTCCCACAGTAGGACAGTCCGCTTTTGCACAAAGGGAAAAAGGGAGAGGGTATTAGGGTAGTTTATGGGATGGTAGCTTCGCTGGTCAAATTGCAGGACTGTGTAATGGGTCACTGGGCAGTAAGCACCAGACCTGCACTTAGGGGCAATGACAAAACACAAGGCAGCTGTGCAGATGGACAGGAGGTAGAAGAGAGAACAAAATTGTCTTTCGCTAGCCGGGGAAATTAACTCTTTCAGTCCCAGGCATATATTTCTGTAACTCATTTTTTAAGCAACTGATACTTAAAGTAATAGATGCTTGGCCATGAAGGGGTCTAAGTAATACAACTATGGAACAACAGGAGCTGAAATAACTAATGGGAAAGAATGGGTTAAAGCTAGTTTCATGAGACTTTAGGAAATCAGAAAAACATAGCAGGTAAGGCAACTGTAATAAACACATAGTGAGCTCTCTGGTACTCAAACATGTTCCATTTTCCGTCCTCTCATAACATGGCAGAAAAATGATGACTGTCTCCTTCTGCTGCCTGTGATTAGTTGTCTTTGCGCTCCCGCCTCTTTTAAAACTTTGTAAATGCTTTTTTTTTTTTTTTTTTGGCTGTCCAAGGTATTTTAAGCAATATTCTATAAAACCACATCTCTGAGGCCTAAAAAAATTGTTTGGCCTGCCTACCGATTGTTCAGGACTCAAGCCATATGTTAAAACTGGATGCATCTAGCAAGCAAGAATGCTTTTTCTAACCTTCAATGACAAAGATCTATTGCACAAGATGTTCTTTATTAAATAAAATGCAGTTTTTGCCTGTCCTTTTCTGTTTCTTATTTCAGTTATGCATCTTCCATCTGATGTTATCCATGTGCCCAGATATTTAAATTTTTGTACTTGTCCCAAAATCACACCATTAACTTTTATTACACATTTAGGAATAATTATTTTCTTTATAATATACCACCATTACTTCTGTCTTCCCACTATTCAAACTGAGGCCCATTCTTCCACTTTCGAATTGTGCATAGTGTATAAAATAGATCTTAAAAAAACACATTTATAATGTCAAATCTGCGCTGAAATTATACTTCACAAAATGTAGTACAGAATAGTAAATATTTAAAATCATTTTATGTTTCGCATTTTTCAGTGAGTCAGTTTGTGGTAACTAATACCTAGGAATGATAGTATTCTTAGTTATATAACAAGTAACTAAACTTGTAAATTGTAACTGACAGCTTAGTTAATGCATGAATGTGACTTAAGCAACAGCAACTATCGCAGTGTATGCAGAAACGGGTGTAAGGTAACCACTATTCGTATTTGACCCGACCGCAATCTCACTGGCATGGAGATATGGTACTTTAAAAAATTTTCTTTTAACTAAACAAACAGAGCTGTATACTTAACAATCATCCTGGAGATTGATTTAAAATAGCAAGCAAAATCTATTTACTTTTAAGAATATACAAAACTGTAAGTTAAGATGCAACTCAATAATTAATATCACCTGACTGTTCTGTCCCGAGGCGATTGTAACTTTAAGGTGGCTGTAGTTTCCGTAATTTTTGTAATCTCAGGAGATGAAGGTGGACTCAAGGCTAGAAAAAAAAAAAAAAAAAAAAAAAAAAAAAAAAAGTATTTGTTAAGATTCAATTACTTGTAATTTCATTTTCTGATAAGACAGATTAAAACAACAATGGAAATGATAAACTTAATATCCATTTTTGCCTCTGATACCATTATTGAACTATGTTAATATATATATATATATATATATAAATATTCTTCTTTTGTCAAAATCTGCTTATGCTGCTAGGCATCGCAGTTCATCAGATAATCAGCAGCCGAGCCAAGGGGCGAATGGTGGCTCACAATGCCATGATGTTATGGTCTCGAGGTGTCAGTGACTCCATCAATCCATATTCTTCACGGTCTTCCCCTGCGTCTTGGTATTTCGATTTTTAGGTTGTACGCTCTTGCTGCTGACATTGTTGGTTTCATTCTCATTTGATGGCCAAACCATTTCATTCTTTATTTCTCAATAAAATTGACCATGGGTGTTGTTCCAATAGTTCTTGTGATCACATCGTTTCTCACTGAATCTATTCTGGTTTTACTCACAGCCATTCTCAAACATCTCATCTCACAGGTGGTTAGTTTTCTTTCATGTTCTTTTGTCAATTTCTGACAGTGGTAACCTAAAGTTGGTATTGTGACGACACAATTTGTGACTTCAGAACATGTCTTTCCCCAACTTAATTTTTCTGTGCTTTTTGAGTTTGAGAGGGGAATATGCTCCTGGGTATAACCTAACTCAAGGTCATCCAGAACAAAGCTTTTTAATTTTTCTGGACCCAGTTGATATCAAACACTCAGACTCTTGCCCAGAGGTAATGTGTTAAGGATCGGATAACACTGACTAGATAGACTTAGTGGCACCAGTGAAGTGGAAAGTTCAGACATAGTGGCTGGAGGTTTTGCTAGTAGAACTGAGGTGCCAGATAATTATCCTCTAGCTAGACCTTTAGGAGCAGATAACTCAGGCTAATTGTGATATCTACCGCTGAGATTACCCCCACTTGAGCGCAGGTCAGATAGCTAGTACTGATACTTATCTGAGGGAGGTGTTAGCAGACAGAGAACATGCCAGGCTGAAGATAGGGAAAAAGGTGTGACTTTGCTTATGAGCTCTAGCCAGCTTGATAGACCATGGGAATGAAACACAGTGTTGGCAAACATGTGTTTGTGCCCACTGGACTGACAGGCATTTAGTGACAGAGCTGTCCCCCAGGGCAGAGTTTTTGCAGCCCTTGAATGAGAGTGGTTCAGGAGTAATGTAGGAGGAGCTTAGGAGAGATTATAAAAGTGGGGACCGTAGGTTTGGAAATTGAGACTCTGCTAGCAGCCCATGTCATCAGCACACCGTTTCTTGGGCTTAAACTCTAAGCTTTGGGTCAGAACTTGGTGGCATTGTGTTTTCATTTTCCAGGAGAGTACGTCTATGTGCAGAGGGGGGGTGGGGGGGGGGGGGGGTGGGGGGGGGGATGTAATATTTCTATACAAATAGAACCTGAGCTTACACATGGGTATTTGTTTCTTTATCACAGTTCACACATGGGGCAGGGACTGCTTAAAGCTGCGAGGGTGACAAACTGGAAAAGAGACAGTCTCATCCTGAGATATGTTCCAGGTTTAAAAGTTATGTAATGTGTAATGTTTGTAAGAATATCGTAACACCTCACTATACTAGCATATGCACGTATTGAACTTATTGACTGATTACCATTATTAAGCTATTATCTTTTATCACTGCCAGATTAATATTATTCAATTCATTTTGTTTAGCCTATTAATAAAATCTTGTTTATGTTGTTATAAAATAGTTGAGTAAATTGTGTTCAAGCACCAGCAAGGAGATCAAAATTAGAATTTTAAGAGCATGCATCTTCCCTGTGGCTACATACGGATGTGAGTCTAGACTATCTTTCAGTCCTTAAGAAAAAAAATAGGGTCTTTTGAGCTGAAATGCTATAGAAAGATTCTAAGAATATCTTGGACACAGAAGATGAGAAATAATGATATCTTAAAAGATGTGAACATCAAGGAAGATTGACTTATAAACAGCATCCTTTCTTTAGTTATAAATTTATACCATGAGAGGAGAAAGTTGGAGGGATTAACTGTGTATCATGATATTATCTCATTAGATTCATTCTGATGTCTATCTTCCTTTTTCCTACTTCTGTGGAGTACAGCCACTAATATTTGATTGTACCAGCCACTTTTGCTGTTTTCTTGGTTATCCAGTACTGTGTCTGGGATCAACATAGCTCAGATATTAGTCTAATTTCTCATGTGGGTGTGCAGTGTTGGGATAAACACCTGACAATTGAGTCGCTTGCCAGGATAAACACCTGACAGGTATAAATATTGTATTTATAATTTGTCTTTTCATTTCTATTGGGATCATCATCATCATCAGGTGCCTTGCCGACTGGCGTGGGCGATCATGCCTCTCCATAATCTGCTATCTCCTGCAGCATGTATCAGTTTGTGTGCCGACACACCTCCATGCCATGCAACAAGACTGTCAAGCATCTTCTCTCGTTGTCTTCCTCTATCCCTTTTTCCACAGATCTTTCCAGTGGTCACAACATGTTCTATTTTCCCTTTTCTCATAACATGGCCAAAAAATGATGACTGTCTCCTTCTGATGTTTGTGATAAGTTGTCTTCGGGGTCCCGCCTCTTTCAAAACCTCTTGGTTGCTCTTTTTGGCTGTCCAAAGGTATTCTAAGCATTCTTCTGTAAAACCACATCTCTGAGGCCTCTAAAAATTGTTTGGCCTGCCTACCGATTGTCCAGGATTCACAGCCATATGTTAAAACTGGATGTATGTAGCAAGCAAGAATTCTTTTTCTAACTCTCAATGACAAGGATGTTTTTCATTTTATAAAATGCAGTTTTTGTCTGTCCAATTCTGTTTCTTATTTCAGTTATGCATCTTCCATCAAGACTGTATCATCAGCATAACATAAATTGTTTATATTGTGCCCAGCAACCACAATTCCGGGCATATCAATTAAAGATCTCATTATATATTTACTGTATATTGAAAACAAATCAGGTGAAAGTACACATCCTTGCCGTACACCCCTCTTTATGCTTTGAAATGTACCTAAACAGTTGTTAATTCTTATAGCTGCTGTTTGCTGCCAATACATATTCTTTATTATTCGTAGATCTTTCCCATCAATGTTTAATTTTTTTAACAGTTTGATTACTTCTTCATGTTTCAGACAGTCAAATGCTTTTGTATAGTCTATGAAGCATAAGTACAAATCAGTCTTTACTTCTATAGCTCTTTCTGACAATGTCCTTAGGATGTAAATGGCATTGTTTGTACCTTTTCCTTCTACAAATCCACATTGTTCATCGCTGATTTCTGGTTTAATTTTGTTTCTTTTTCTTCTCATAATTATTCTCAGTAAAATTTTAGTCATGTGACTCATAAGACTTATTGTGTGATGGTCTTCACATTTTAAAGTGCCTGGTTTCTTTGGCAGAGCTATAAACATGGATTTTAAAAGGTCATTTGGAATATACCCACTATTATAAATATCATTTAAAAGTTTAGTTTTTATTTCAATTCCAAAATTTCCCAGTGCTTCGATTTCTTCCAGTGAGATGTCGTCTGGCCCGGGTGCTTTTCCTTTCTTCATATGATGTATTGCATCCTCAACTTCTGCAGTCATTATTGGTGGACCATCATTGTTGGTCTGAAGTTCTACGTCTGGTCTATTGTCATCATACAATTCCCATATATAGTCTGTCCATCTGTTAATTATATTACTATGTCCCATTAATAAGTCACCATCTTTTGATTTCAAACATCCAGTGCTGTTACGTGTCATCTTTCCTGTTAACATATTTATCTGTTGGTACATGGAATGTGAGTCTTTCCTGTGATTTTTCCCAATCTCTGTACACATTTGATTCAGCCAGGCTTCTTTAGCCACTTTGCATTTGTTCACTATTTCTTTTTGTATTCTAGAGTATTCTTCTTTATCATTCTATTTCTGACTTCCGGTGTAAACAGCCACAATGGCGGTACGCTTTTTCGTCCGTTGAGGCGAATGGCGCAAATTAACTATTTTCGCTCACGTATAATGTGAAAGTTTCATCGGAATGGGGTCTGAACCGTGCAATGAAGTACATGCACGTGAGTTCAGACTTCCCTCAGGGTGTATTCAACGTCCGATGGCGACTATTCACCAATTCAAAACAACCCATAGACGGACAAGGAGAACGCGAACAGGCAAGCACGGTGGCGCCTGCAGGAAGCGACTGAAATGTGAGAGACTCAGCTTAAAATATGTTCGCGTTCTCTAGTGGAACTGCGCTTCGTTCAGTCAACGCCGACCCATTTTTGAGAAGCTCCTCTACAGCAACGACATTGTTGTCCTACAGGAAACACACCTCGGTGACGAGATCGTTAAAATTGCGGGCTTCCAATCCTTCTACAATAGACGGCACCTCGGACAGCTCATTCTTGTTCGTGACAACATACCGGTGTCTGAGGTGGACATGTCTGAGTGGGATAATGACGACCTACAAGTACATGCAGTCAGAGTGTTGGGCCCGGCCCAGTTTGTGATTATCAATGTGTACGCCTGCAATGGAAAGGTGGATACAGCGAAATGGCAGAGCTTGCTCCAGACGGAGGAAAAGAAAGTCCTTTACTGCGGAGATTTCAACGCCAGAGGAAACCAGTGGGGCAATGTAATCACCAATAAACAGGGGGAAGACCTGGAGGATGCCCTAGTGTCTGCCGATCTAGTATGCTTGAACGACGGAAAGGTTACCCGAATGGCAACACGACAAGGGGATTCTGACAGCGTAATTGACCTGGCCCTAGTGTCTCCCTCCATTGCATCAGGATGCAGGTGGAGCACACTGGGATACCATGACAGTGATCACTTTCCTTGCGTCGTCCTGGTGGAGAAGAGCAACAACAAAGGTCATGTAATCAATGTGCCTGCTTTTCTATATGACCGTACAGGGCAAGATGCCATTAGCAAAATCAGACGACCTAAAACAAGAGCAGATCGCAGACGGCGGGAGAGATGGGCCCAGCCACCATGGTGGAATGAAGTAGTCAACATGGCGTGGCTAGAATAAAGGAACGCTGTCAAGGCATGGCAAAAGGCAAGGAAAATTGATCCGTCACTTTCTGAACGCCTGATCAGTCTAAAAGATGAGGTTAACAAGCGGACAGTGGCTTTCAAGTTAATTGCCAAAGAAGCCAAGACAGCGAAATGGAACGAATTCTGCAAGAGCGTTTGCTCCGAGGGATCTCTTGTGACATTCTGGTGCCTTCAACGGAGCATGCACGGCGCCGCACGACCAAGGGGTATCCCTGATTTTCAGGGTACAGACCTGATATGGCAGAGAACTGATGCTGATAAAGGAAAAACCCTTCTTGCGCGCTACTTGGAGCAAACTGACCAAAAAGACGAAGCTGCAAGAATAGGGGTTAAGATGAAACTGTCGATGTTGTGCGAGAACACTGAGCTAGGCACTGATTTCACAATCACTGCAGACACCTTAAGAACTTGCCTCAAGAAATCGCGCAGCACTGCTCCAGGCCCTGACGGCATCCGATACAATGACATGCTGATGATGTTGAATGCTGATTTGAAAAGCGTGGCAAAGGAATTCAATATCAGCATCCAGAGTGGCCAGATACAAGAGGAATGGCTCCATAGTTATTTGTTCCCACTACCAAAGCCTAATAAAGACCACTCAAAGATCTGCGGCTACAGAATCATCTCGATGCAGAATACTGTTGGCAAACTTTTGGAAAAAATTGTCGCACAAAGATTGACCACCTACTTGGAACTACATGATAAGTTCCCATCAACACTTGGAGGGTACAGGTTGAAGAAAGAGACATGGTTCAATGCTGCTGTTTTCGCCTACGATGTGTACGAGGGATTTCAGATTAAAGAAGAGACATGTGCGGCAGTGTTAGACTTAGAAGATGCCTACAATAAAGTACCATACGAATATTTAATGCAATTACTGCTTAAACTAGAAGTCAATCCTATTCTGATCCGCTGGATTGCTGCGGTCCTGTTTCAGAGAAAGATTGTACTAAGATGTGGTAGCTGGTCCTCAGAACCGCAAACGATATGTCCAGGCTTGCCACAGGGATCACCGCTATCACCAGTCTTATTCAACGTTTATACGGTGATGATCACTGAGCAGCAGTTGAATGGAAAGGGAAGGACTTTGTCATTTGCTGATGACATTTTGATTTATCGACGAGGGCGTGATAGACAGGAGATCGCCAGCACAATGCACAAAGAACTCGATCGAATTGCCGCCTGGTGTGATGGTTCCAATGCCTATGTCAATCCTTCGAAGGCATCAGTGTCATGGTTCTCTTTGAACAATCACATTGTCAAGTCGGACTTACCAGAAGTGAAAATGCGTGATAATATATTGATCAGAACCAACGTTATGACGTTTCTTGGGGTGAGGTTCGATCGCAGCTTGTCATTCAGGGAACACGTTGACCATGTGATAACAAAAGCACGCAAAGGTCTATCTGCAATGAGGATTATGGCTGCTTCCAATATCGAGCAAAGACTACTAATACTTCTATTCTACGGTCTGGTCCTTTCACCCATTGAATACGCTCTGGCCATCCTCACTGTCAGTGCTACCCAGATTGAAAGACTCGAAAAGGTGCAAAATGAAGCCATGCGCATTATTTTGGGATGTACAAGAGACACATCCTGTGAAGCAATGAGGTATCTACTTGACTTTCCAACAATGAACCAAAGGATCAGGATGTGGAGGGCTCGGGCATACCTCAAAATATGTGCTGATAAGAAACACCCACTGCATCAAGCGCTTTTTAGTGAAAAGGGCGACAGACTGAAGAGGGGTAAATCGTGGCTAGGTCGGGCAGAAGATGTTATTAGGCAAATATGCAGCCTTACCGACATCATACCTGGTGCAGAATGGATACCTGTGCCTCAGGCGTGTATTTGTACATTTTCCTGTATTGTCACACTCAACAGGCGATGTAGAGAAGAGAATCCTGTTGCTGTTAATGCAGAGGTCAACGCTCTCATCGGTGAAAATTCAAACGACGCAGATGCACTAATCTATACAGACGGATCCGTTATACGCCAAAGAAGAAGCGCATGGGCATTTACAGCACGCTCAGCGGGCAGAACAGTCAAAGAAGCCAACGGTGCCTTCTCCATGACAACCAGCAGCATGACGATGGAGGTGATGGCAGTGACGCAAGCGTTTGCCTGGCTTGAAACACAAAAATACACCCGCATATGTATACTCAGTGATTCAATGAGTATGATCCGGAGGGTTCAGGCAGGTTCAGTGCGAAGACAATGGCTTGAATCATTACAGAAGTCCACTGTGCGTGGAGTCACCTTTATTTTTGTTCCGGGACACGCAGGCGTCGACGGAAATGAAAGAGCTGACAGGTTGGCTGGATCCGCTATCACTACCGACGGTCGGCCTATGGATCATGCTGATATTATCAATGCCCTCAGAGAAATGGGAAGGATAGAGGACTTTGGTGGCAGTGAATCCACATCACTCGCCAGAATGGCAGACTTGGGAATTAAGATCGGCACAGCAAAAAACGAGACGCACACCGGACACGTCAGAAGACTTGTTAATCAACATAGAACTGGTACTATTAGCCATCGGACGTTGGGGTTCATACTGAGGGGAGGATCTGAGCACCTATGGACATGTCCGGAGTGCAATGACGATAACCCAACTAACTAACTAACTAACTAACTAATTCTATTTCTTCCTTCTTTCACCATCAACTGCAGAATTTTGGTTGACATCCATTTCTTTTTTGCAACTCTATGGGTTGGTGGGATTGTCTCTTTTGATGTCTGCTGAATTGACTCATGCAACATATCCCACTGTTAATCAATAGTCTGTATAATTTTCATTGCATTATACCAGTTTTGTACAGTGACATTGTACTGTTCCTTAATTTCTTTATCCGTTCTAAGAATTCCTAAATTTAACTTGACGTTCTGTGGTGTTTTTCTAATGTTCTTTAGTTTTATTCTAATTTTTCCTACAACTGGATCTATTGGGATAGCAGTGTTTTAAAATTGTAGCAAGTTAATAGTGACATTATTGGCTTGATGAATTCTCGTTTCAATCTCTCTGTCTATTTTACCATTGTAGGTAAAGATGCTTCCCAAGTATTTAACTTCTTGCACTTGTTTCAGACTTTGATCTTTGATCTTTATGTTGGTGGTTTGTTGCTCTCTTCTTATTCTCATGACTTCTGGTTTTTTTTTTTTTATATTGATCTCCATGGATGTTTAAGGCAGCTGTCATGTAGTTGGTATATGTGGTCCTGCAGCTGTTTACTTTCTCTGTGGAATCAGCACTGAAAGTTGGCAAAGAGCAGCTCATTGAAGTCTTCCTGTTTACTGACATCTGGTGGTGTTATGTCTATTTCGTTCATATTGTCCATGAATATTACAAAAAGTAAAGGTGAAAGAACACACCCTTGCCTTACTCCTGATGTTACTTGGAACCAGTCTGTGAGGACAGTTCTTTTTATGATGGTACTTTTATTTTCTCTATAAATAGATCTTATACAGTCTAGCATTGGTCCAATTATACAATTGTTTTCAAGGACATCCCATAGTAAAGTTTTGTTCACTCTGTCAAAAGCACAGTTAGGGTTCAGAAAGTTTGCCCAGCTTCTTTATGACTGCCTCTAAAATTGGCACTTTTGTTTTGCTCACTGACTGATTTACAGTCTACATGACCTGGCCAATATATCTTTGTAAGGTTTGAGCTTTTCTATCCACTCTTTGCATTTTGAAGTTTATACAAATACAGACTAAGAATCAGACACAATGATTTCTCTGGTAACTTTATTGCCAGTTATCCACCTCAAAGCTGCCATGATCATCTCAAGCTGTATTGCCTTACTTGAGGCAGTAATCCTATTAAATCCATGGACAGAGACACAGCCTTCCCCTCTCCTCCTGTTGAGAAACCTCAGCCTGTGTTAACTTACTCAGAATTTCCAGTATCAGTGGTGTGCTTCTAATTCTGCCAGACTATTTGACCCCTCTCTACATTCTCTGCACAATGCTATGATAGTGTCAGATCTCTCAAGTATCCTACTCCTACTCCATTTATCTAACCTGTGCTTTTGTAAACATTAAGGAGTTGGTAAATAAGTATTGACATGTCAATTTTCCTTTCTTGGTTGTTTATGGTAATGAATAAACTGTGCATATCAGACCTATCTCTATTGTAGGTATTTTTATCCAGCAATCAGTGATGTCTAACACACTGCCAGATCCTTGTTCTGTGACCCACCTAGATTATTGAAGAAGCTATGAGCTCAGTATCTGATTTTGATATCCTGAATCATAAGAGTGTTAATATTGAAAACTACTTCTTTAGTATGTGTGAGTGCTGCTTTGCACTTCAGCAGATTTAAATCTAACATTGGATTGAGACAAAATATTAACTCATATACCTCAGACATAAAGCAACAACATTATTTATTTTCAGAGCAATTACTGGATGTTACCTTCAGGACGTGTCCATACATTCACTGTTGCAGGCTCCCCTGTGCCTATTTTAGTGGTTGCTTTAACAGAGCATGTGTAAAGACTGGCTGGTATAAGATTGCTCACATTCAGTTCTAGCACACTGGGTTGAATGACTTTTGGTTTAGCTGGCTGAGTTTTGGGCAGTACATTAGAAAAAATACTGTCCTTCAACTCACAGTTCACCTGAAAATATAATTTGTAACTAAAATTTTCATTTTGTAAAAAACTTGATTTTGTCAGAGACAGTACATTCAACTGTAAGTTTTAGTTTTCTATTTAATAATAATCACCATCCATAAAAACTGTTACCCACATATTTCCGCCTGCAACAGTACAAAAACAATCAAACATCGACAGACAATCTTAAAAAGAACTCAGTATCCCTGTCCAGGCTGGTGGACATGGGGGTGCAACCTGATGTAGCCAGATATGGATATTTCACCAAGGCACAAGGCGTCTGGTTAATCAACACAGAATGGAGGTGATCAGTCATTTTACTCTTGTGTAACTACCTACGGAAGATATCGGAGCACCCACGGAATTGTACAGAGTGCTGTGATGATAGTCCTCACTAATCACTAATCATTAATCACTAAGCTTTACAAAGAAATTAAAGTGATTAGCTTACTATAAAATTTATCAAGTCTCCATTCTGCTGCTGTGGGAGCTGCCACTTGAGTCTGACTGAGTTTGATGTTCTAGAGATGTTCATTAGATGGCTGACGGGCCCAGGCACTATAGATAATAATAATAATCATTTAAACATTAATCTAAATCACAAAGTAAAATGTTGTCCATTCACACCTGAATTTAATGAAGTCCTTGGTTAGAAAATGATGAGCAGTTTAATATTCTACTCAAAACTTAAACATGGTAATATCATGTGCACATTAAATGGGGTGAATTCAAAACGGATGAGGAAATAAGAGTAATGTCCACCAGGGACTTGTATCAATGGTTCTAAGACAGAAAAGGTGATCCTATATTTCATATCATGAGAAGAAATGAGAATCACCAAACAGTCACTGAAAAAAGTCACCCTGAAAAAAATAATAATAAACGTTTATGAGACAGGCGGAAGGTGCTGATCTCATCCCTGGTAGTGAACTGATTGCACAGACAGAATGGAATGGAAGAATAGACTGTGAGACCTGTGTGACACATGACTGCACAACAGGACAATGAGTGGATATCATCTGCAGGGTTTTTGTGAAACTTGTATCCTGTATGTTCCCCATCATCTTAGTAATCAGTGCTATGTATTTTGCCATGTCAGCCGTACAAGTGGCTTGCACCTATCATAGTGAGATGGGTGTACAGGCATTTTTATCAACCTGGCACCGGATTAGCATATCTGCACAGAATGTATTGTAGAGCTCTATTTCTCTTCTTTAAACAAAGAAACCTTCAAGACTGGTACAAAGTGACTGGTACAAAGTGACTGGTACAAAGTGACTGGTACAAAGTGACTGGTACACATTTGACACATCAGGAATATAATGCTAGATCATTATTTTGATAAACCAATTGGCCCTTGGTGGGTGATGTGATCAGCTTCATTCCAGACTTACTTTACAGGCAATTTTGGTACTACTACTTTATTATTATATGCAGAGACATATTAGGACATACTGCAGCTAGGGAATATTTAGTACATATGCATAATAAGAACAGTCATGATTCAGCACAGTACATGTAAAAAGGCAGAGATTACGCCTTTTGTAATGGTAATGCAAGCAAGTTTTGGTAACTTCACCATTTACAGACTTCAACCCAATGCTCAGAAGAAAACCTATGACCTAATGTATTTTCAACTGTACACCAACAATTGGGGGGGGGGGAGGAGGGGGGGGGGGGGGGGGGGGGAGGGGGGTGTGGGCCGTAAGAATTTGACAAAGAATATTATAGGAAATTAAAATTTGCATTATTGTTATCTTCTTGCTTGCATCTTTAAATATATTTTATAAACAGTAGTTTCCTTCCCATGGGTGAAGTAAACGTATGGTGCAATCCTCAACCTGCTGGGCACTGAGAGCTTGAGTAGTTGAAAGCTCTTTTTTGTATAGACCAATTGGTACAATACTAGATGGGGGATGTAGACAATATCTGACTGACTGACTGACTTTCAACCCCATCAGGACATCACAGGGAGTGATAAACACCTAGTGACACAAAGTGCCACCATTGAGATGAGGATCTCCCAGGGACAGATCCCAGAAATGACATTCAATACACAGGTTGGGTTATATGAGAGCCCCTGGCAACAGCCAGGGTAGGGCATTTAGAACAAAGATTGCATGTAAGATGGGGCATAGTATACTAAAGCTGAGACAATTTCATAGAATATCATAGAAGGATAGACAAAAAATGCAACAGAAGCTGTCCTCATCAAGACAGATGAAGATGTTTAAACTTATTAGAATAATTAAATGTAGACAGTCAACATTTGTTGGATATAGTACGAGAAGGAATGGACTTGAGAACTTTGTAACAACTGGCAAGATGGAGGGAAAGAGAGCAAGAGGAAGGCAGATAGGTATATACCTGGATGGCCTGGCCAAACAGATATTAAACTGATCCGGGAATCTGATGATCATGTGAGATTGTGAAACGTGACAGCCCATGCTTACTGGCATAGAACATGATGAATCCTCATCATGATTCTATGATTCTATGAATCTTTCTGTAAAATTTCATATCAACAGTCTGAATTTTTTACTGTATCACTGAGATTCATATTAGTAAATAGTTTCTGCTGTGAGTGCATTGGTACATAAAAAGAGCATCCTTTATTTGACCTTGTTTAATGTGGACTATTTATTACTTATTTTAAATATCATTAGAGTACTGCCCAAGGGAGTGGAAAAGGGGGGGGGGGGGGGGGGTAGTAGATAAGGCATCTCGACTTCTCAGATTATGACATTTTAGAAGACCTGCAGGCAGTGTTAATATTGAAAACTACTTCTTTAGTATGTGTGAGTGCTGCTTTGCACTTTAGCAGATTTAAATCAGGGCTAGTCAAAAGAGATGTTGAATCGGCGCATCTTGCGTTCATTGGGCCTCTAGGCAGGAACCTATGAACGTATGATGCGTTCCTTGGGACTCAATGAGTTAAGACTATGGCTGCAATTGACATAGAGCAGAGAATGCTTTTCACACTATATCAGCACCTGATCCTGTCAGTGATTGATTATGGCCTGGGACTGCTTACCGTCTCAAAGAGTCAGATGGACAAACTAGAGCGCATTCAGAACGCGGCTATGCGGGTCATTCTGGGTTGCACCAGAGACACCCCAGTGGTGTGTGTGCGATACATCCTTGGTTTGCCGATGGTTGCAGGTAGGCACAAGGTGCTGCAGGCGAAGTCATATCTCAGGGTAACTGCAGACACAGACCACCCTCTGCATGAAACTCTGGGTGTAGTTAAGGGTCAGCGGCTGATAAGATGGAGGTCATGGATGGCTCAGGCAGAAGATACAATCAGACAGGATTGCATCCTTGAGAACATTAGGCGAGGAGAAGAGTGGGTCAAGGTGCCACCTGTACAGTCAGACTTGTTTAGAGTCATAATCACACTGAGCCGGGAATGCAGAGACTGGCCAGGAGGTGCCACAGAGGTGGAAATTCAGCAATTAATTCAAGATAATGCTCGCTTAGAGGATTTGATCATTTACACAGACGGTTCAGTGTTTAAGAGGAAGAAGAAATGCTTGGGGCTTCTTAGCAAAAGTTAATGGTCGATGTTTGGTGCAGGAGATACCACAACTTCCAGCTATAGAATGGAGGTGGAGGCGGTCACTGCAGCTTTCCGCTGGCTAGAGAACACAACACACACACACACACTTTGTGATTGTAACTGATTCAGAAAGCATGCTGAGGAAGATCAGAACAGGTATGCTTTGTGCAGAGTGGCAAGCTTCGCTGCGGAGGACACGGGTGAGGAGTATTGTCTGGATTTTTTCACCGGTGAACGTCGATGTGTTGGGAAATGAACAGTCGGACAGACTGGATGGCTCTGCACAACTTGGTGGAATACTGATACATGATAAGGCAAACGTGGTTAGTGCCTTATGGGAGAGCGTGTACAGTTTGGAGGAGCAGATAGATCACCACAGTCTGGTGAGACTGATGCAGCGGGGAGTAACGAGAGGTTCTGGCAGATGCTTGAGGCTCAGAGGAAAGGCAAGGTGGACGTTTAATCAGAATGCTACTGGCACCATTAGTATCGGAACTCATCGCTGGCTGCTGAAGATGGGGATGGAGCGCTTATGGGAATGCCCCGAGTGCTGTGATGTCGGTTTTTTAATCAAGTCAAATCAAATCAAATCAGTATCTGTGAATTGTTTTCATAAACATTAATACCTTTGCCTGAGCTGTGGAGTGTATGTATTGTGTAAAAAAAAAATTTCTTAATGGAAAAGAGACAGGAGCAGTTATGAAGGTATTTGTGGGCAATGACTTGGCAACAACTAATTCATCTGAAAAATGCTGGTGTCCTCTTCACTTCTTCTTGTACTGCTTCTGATGTCAAGGGAGACATATGGTTCTGCTTCTGCTCTTCTAGTCAACTTACCATAGACGCAACAGTTTCTCTTATATTATCTTTCCATCTAGTTCTTGGTTTTGCATTGTCTCTAGTCCCTCTCCTCCTTTGGTGTATGCTTTTAATTGAATGGCTTCGCATGGCATTCTCTCTCAAGGGGCAAACCATTTTATTTACTGTTTTTTATGTAATGTACAACTGGTTCTGTGCTGACCTTTTCTTTTATGATTTCAATTCTGATTTTGATCTCTTCTTTTCTTTCTCCAGGCCAAGCTGGTGTGGTGGGGAATGAACAGGCAGACAGACTGACTGGATCTGTACCACTGGGTGGTGAATTAATACATGACAGGGCAGACGTGGTCAGGGCCCTTTGGGAACAAGCAACAGAGTCAGAAGCGAAACAACATTATTATGGCCTGAAGAGAATGAGGCATATGGGTGTAACCAGGGGGTCTGGCTGGTTCATTACACTCAAGGGAAAGGTGGATATATAACAAGATTACAACCAGTTCAATTAGTATTAAAACTCTGCACTGGCTGCTGAGGAGAGCATGGAGCACACACTGGAATGCCCCAAGTGTTGTGATGTTAATTCTTGACTCAACTCTCAACTCTCCTTCTCTAGCCAGTTCTTCAACTCTATGTGCTTTCATAGGTAATGCATCTTCTGTGTCTCGTATCCATTTTGGCTGCACTCTGACTGTATCATTTTCAGTACCCTTTATCACTGTTCTGGTCAGACCAACATGAGTTTAACATGGCCAACATATCTTATCTCAGCTTCTCGTATAGGATGCTTTTTATTAGTGAATTTTCCTTAATGCACAGATCATGTAGGATATCCTCTGTGTTTTCTTCCCTTTTTTTGTGGGCTTATGGTTTCTAAGAATTCTCCTGTAACATTTCAGTTCAAAATCTCAAATTTTTGTCTTCAGCGATTAAATAAGAGTTCATGACTCACATTGATAAGTTGCCGCAGGATTGATGTATGATCTCAAAATTGTTACTTTAACTGGCTTGCAAGTGCTGGCTAATCACACTTAGGCTGTGTAATAATACATTTGAAAACCATTAAATGGATAAGTCCCACACTGTAACTTACATCCTTCATCAGTTGTGAATGAAATTGTTTCAGAAGGTTCACTAACACCAGCTGAGTTCACAGTTCTCACCTGTACAAGAAAATATAATACAATTAATGGCTTCTGCAGTAATAAAATAAAGAATATCTTGAATTGAATAAATGAAGTGTTCTACATTGTGGAAGTCACTACAAATGTATACAATACATCTTTTGTATACAATACATCTTTTGTATACAATACATCTTTTGTATACAATACATCTTTTGTATACAATACATCTTTTGTATACAATACATCTTTTGTATACAATACATCTTTTGTATACAATACATCTTTTGTATACAATACATCTTTTGTATACAATACATCTTTTGTATACAATACATCTTTTGTATACAATACATCTTTGTCATTGGTGGCCTACACAATAATTTGTTTGTGCAGTATAACACAGTTCTGTATATGTCTTTCACAAATTGTAAACAGTTAAGATACCTTTGTGGTTTTACAGAGCATCTTTGAGGAATCATTTGCTGAGTCAAAAAAAGTAATCTATGTTTTTAAACATGCAAGGTATAAGAACAACTTATCACAATAATTTGTTTCAATGTTATGAGATGACATAGAAATGACTACAATATAACAACAAGTATAGTAAATGGGAAATATATGATAAAATATCTCGCAATACAAAACTCTGGATGCTTTTCATGAAGACATGGAAATCTTTCATCATCTGACTTGAAGATAACATATTCTGCATTAGAACAAGGGCTTTAGAGAAGCATAATCATCAACTTCAGTTGGCAAAACTTGATTAGGATGATATTGATAAAATTTTAATTAGCATCTTCTAAAGCATATTTATATTCATCTCCAAGAATATTTGCTCATACAATAAAAAGACAACGTAAAATAATGTTTAAAAAAAAAATCAAAATGCTACAATGACCCAGCAAAGAAAAAAGAAAGATTGTAAACAGAGAAGCATCAGGCTTTATTTTTAGACAAATAGATTGTTATAAATGTCGTCAACACTTGCATAGCTAAAAGATAAAGTACAAAAGTTCACAGTATGAGTTATAAGTAAATGGCTGGTGTGAACAGAAAATTCAGTGACTAACGAAGAAATCTTCATAAATTGCAATATTTAAATAAAAAAAAATAAAAAAAACTTAATGGTTACCTGACAAGCATTTCTACAGACCAGTAAGCAACATAAGCATACAACAAAATATCTGAGGCACAAAAAATATTGAAATTGACAGTTTAAGAGATAATACAGAAGCATGACCTGACAATACTGATTGTTGTAATAAATCAGATCACATTGTCTAACAAGTTAATCTTGTTTCTTTGATGAATAATAGAACACTCATAACTAAATAGATGTAAAAACTGTATACACAAGGGAGCTGAATGGTCATAGACCATAAGCAGCGGCACTGTTCGAAACAGAAGCAAATTTTTTGCTTCTGCCGGATGGTGGCCGATGCATTTTTGCTCCATTTGTAGACTGGATATAGTTTCGTCGCCCAGCTTCTGAGCTGAATGCATGGCGTGACCCTGTGAGCTGCGGATTTTATTTGGAATGAATTTTGACTGTGACCGTGACCAACGTGGTGATGTGAATTGTAGATTCAGAAAATGGCGCGATGCCTGTTGTGCAGTGTTGTGGTTCCCGTTTGTGATTTAAATTGATCGCGTGGGCAACTGTTGGCGACTTCTGCTACCATCAATGATGAACTGCAATTCTAATACTGTGATAAACATTCTTTGTGTTTTATTCGTTGGCACAGGAGCGCAGCAAAGATGGGGTGACCCGTTTGCTATGAAGCTGAAACTAAGACTACCAGAGAAGTAATATCAAAACAGACCAACAAACACTTGTTGTCACCAACTGAAAAGAGAAGGCCAACTACAGAGACAAATGGAGGTGGGTGTTATCTGTAGCAATGAACTTCAAGGGTTTTAAATGCAAAAGAAGCAGATTAAATAATTAAAAGATAAATTATGTTGCTATATCTGAAAGAGGCTTGAATATATTACTGGAGATTATAATGACTCCTCTTATTATGACAAATGCATGCATTAAACACCTCTTGTAATGCATACAAAGTAAAAAGATGTCATTTTGCCTGGCATTTTAGAATCCAAACATTTCAAGTTGGTTAGCTTTCCTAATGGGGAAGTAAATAAGTAAAAATCAATAACCTGCCAGTGACCTCAGGAACATTCAAGTTAACCTCAATTACAAGTGGCCAACACTGAGAGAAAAAGAAGGTTTTAAGGCTTAGGCAATTGGGAGAATTGTGTATACAATTTAGATGAGATCTGCTTAATTAAATTCTCTCTAAAACTGTGACCCTGGACAGATTAAAAGAGTAATGAAATCGTTTTAAAAGAAACTGCCTCATTCATGAAGAGAACTGATCGCCCACATCAGACAGAGACAGAGTACATCATGACGGTTGTAAAAGTTAGAGGGGAGAAGAGGCAGAGGGAGACTAAGAAAACAGATGCTGGATGGTTTGACATCATGGCATGGAAGATCATCTGTGTCAAAACTGATTGAAAGTACATGAGACAGAAGGTTGTTGATAGACATGACTACCAACGCTACACCGCATGGACTATGGAAGACCAGCTGTGTCAGAGGACATACATCCTGGTACCCATTTTAGGCTGGGTTGACCTGCGACGCCGGTTACCATGATAAAAATCCACGCAGCCAACAGTGGCTTTCGATCACGGTATGTTGGAATTACGAGTCAGACTCGCAGCGCTTAAGCCACAGACACGGCAGAAATTGGAAAACAAAGTGCAAAATAATTCTTTATGAAGAAGAGAAAATAAATGAATGTAGGAAAAAGTGTGAGTGAGAGGAAACCAAAATCACAAAAGCAAGTGCACACACATAACCCAAACATATTAACTGCAACTCCTCAAGTCATAACAAGATCTTAACCGGCACAGTGAACAAAACAGTTTTTCTACTCGTTTGATGATGGTAAGATTAGATGAGGCAAGATCCACATCATATGCTGGGTGACAGGCTAGCAGGCTGCATGTGTACCTGGCAGTCATGTGAATTTCCGCTCAAGGTGGAGATAAAAAAAGAGTTTATGTGGACTCTCAGACTGATCCAGCTCAAAACGGGTGCTGGCACATTTTTCTATAAATTAATGATTGCTGGTCAGATACTGGTGGTGTACTGAGTGCCTGATTGGGTATACTAATATAGGGCTCTGTCACTGTTTACCAATTTTACTTTAATGTATGGAAAGCAGATCCTTACTTTAATTTTTATCTAAAATATGACTGAAAGTGCAAACAAATTATTAAGAGCGTAACACGTTATAAAAAATTATAATTTTAGTAGCTAGATTGGGGGGGGGGGGACATAACAAAAATACTGAAAATAAAAAAGCTGATTACTTGCACACCGTAATGATGAACAAGAATTGATACTAAGGCTTACCTGAAGCCTATAGTTGGTATTTGCCTTTAGTCCAGACAGCACAAAGTCAATTTGCTCCTGACCTCCTGGCTTCACTTCCACAGCCTTAGGGATTTCATCCTCTCCTTCCCAGTAAAATATGTGAAACTTTGTCACAACACCAAAACTCCGGCGTGGAGATTTCCATGATAAAGTTACTGTAGTACTTGTATGGGACTTTATATAAACATTTTCTGGTGGTGCAGGTGCTGTTAATGAACAAAAAGATGCTACAAAGTTAAGAAACATTATCGTATCATTATCGCACATATCATAAATTAGGGTTTGCTCATTTATTTTGCTTGTATGTGTGTGTTGCTGAATCATGTAATGTTTTCATAACCACTTAAATTACATTTATATTAAAAGACAAACATCTCACTTGTTTGTGGTGTAACAATGCACTCTCTTCTAGACTCTGGACTTCTGAATCCACCATTGTTTTCAAACACAAGTACAGCACAGTACTGTGTGAATGGCTCCAGATTTGAAACTGAAATATGTGTTATGTCACCAGGATATTCAGTGGGTGCCATATCTGAAGTCTGGCTCTCAAGTCTTGAAAACTCAGGGCTCATAAACAGAATATACTTCTGAATTCTATTACAGTTGATGGAAGAGTGAACAGGTTCCTGAAGATAAAGTGAGTTATTACAGCTTGGTTAGATTTCAAATAAATGTAATTCCACATCATTTATTGCAACAACAAAAAACAAAAACACACACACACAAAACTTGTGTGCGTCCAACAAATGTGATAGTGAATTTTAATATTTATTAAAATATTTTACATGTTTTACAAGCTTATGTAGATCTTCATCTAGTCTGAAAAAAAGTTTCTCAAATTGTATTACTAACTGTTCAAAAATTACTTTACCTCAAATGATATTCTTCAGATGAAAACATGTTTCTCCTGGGCAGTGTCAACATCATGTAGATGTTTATGTTTCTTTAAACTGACCGTATGAATCTCTGTAAATTACCTATGAATTACCTGTAGTTCAAACATTATATTTCCACATCTGAAAGTAAACTTATCTGGATAAAGATTCAAAACAGTTTCAATGCTTAGAAGGTAATAGCATCAGTGGACATGGAACAGAAAATACACTCTACCAGCAACTGATTATTTCAGTGATGGAGTATGTACTGGGACTGCTAACATCAATTCATATCCAAATAGAGAAATTGAAACACATACAAAATGAAGCCCCATGAGTTATTTTGGGATGTAGACATGCCAAATGTGTGCATGCCACTAATACTTGCATTACCCTCTGTATATGAGAAACAAAGTTTTACAGATGAAAATGTACCATAAAGTTGCAGCGGACAGGGAACACCTTCTGCATGAGGAGTTAGGGAATAGCAAGGGACAGAGGCTGAAAAGAAATTGATCTTGAATGGCACAGGTAAAAGCCACAGTCAGAAAAGTTTGTGCCACTGACAAGATTGCACATGGCAAAGAATGGGTTACAGTGCCACCCAGCAAAACAGACTTGCACAGAGTGATAGTTTCCTTGGACCCAGGAATGGATAGCTGGTGAAACAGAGTCAGTGGTGCATGAGCTGATCAATGAAAAGAGGGTAGAAACAGAGTCAGTGGTGCATGAGCTGATCAATGAAAAGATGGTAGAAACAGAGTCAGTGGTACATGAGCTGATCAATGAAAAGAGGGTAGAAACAGAGTCAGTGGTGCATGAGCTGATCAACGAAAAGAGGATAGAAACAGAGTCAGTGGTGCATGAGCTGATCAAAGAAAAGAAGGTAGAAACAGATTCAGTGGTGCATGAGCTGATCAATGAAAAGATGATAGAAACAGAATCAGTGGTGCATGAGCTGATCAAAGAAAAGAAGGTAGAAACAGATTCAGTGGTGCATGAGCTGATCAATGAAAAGAGGATCAGAATCAGTGGTGCATGAGCTGATCAATGAAAAGAGGGTAGAAACAGAGTCAGTGGTGCATGAGCTGATCAATGAAAAGAGGGTAGAAACAGAGTCAGTGGTGCATGAGCTGATCAATGAAAAGAGGGTATAAACAGAGTCAGTGGTGCATGAGCTGATCAAAGAAAAGAAGGTAGAAACAGATTCAGTGGTGCATGAGCTGATCAATGAAAAGAGGGTAGAAACAGAGTCAGTGGTGCATGAGCTGATCAATGAAAAGAGGATCAGAATCAGTGGTGCATGAGCTGATCAATGAAAAGAGGGTAGAAACAGAGTCAGTGGTGCATGAGCTGATCAATGAAAAGAGGGTATAAAAAGAGTCAGTGGTGCATGAGCTGATCAATGAAAAGAGGGTAGAAACAGAGTCAGTGGTGCATGAGCTGATCAATGAAAAGAGGGTAGAAACAGAATCAGTGGTGCATAAAAAGAGGGTAGAAACAGAGGCAGACTTTTAATTAGGTTGCAGCTGGTACCATTAGCATGTCAACTCTTTGTTGGTTACTGAAGAAGGGGAGGGAGCACTTGTGGGAATGTACTGAGTGCAGTGATATGTCAACTTTTTATTCTTTCATTTATTCATTCATTCTGTTCTGAAAAAGATTAATAAATCTTGAGCAATGTGGGGAAATGTTGGGGTGAGAAGGTCTTAAAACTTCAATATATTTGGCTAATCTGTGATCTCGGGACTTCTGCACTATGGATAAACAGCAAGTAAATAACAGCAGAGAATCCTTTTTTACACCATAAGACACATTTGGTTTATGGTAAAAGCTTCAAATCTTTAGACTGATCACCCCACAGTGAGTGATGTGATCAGTATCATGCCAGCTGACTTTTACATCAAAGTACATTTATTTCCTAGTACCGACGTTATGCTAGGTTGATATGGAAGCCCAAGTCAGTGAAAATTACTTCTTTATTGGGACTCATTCACATGACCACTGTGTTGGCAGGCAAGTGTTTCAGCTGCTGGGCTACTAGAACTCTTGGCATTTACAGAAACATATTTAAAATGGGTTTAGACAAATAATGTGAGATATTTCTGCTGTTATAATTGTTGACAGCATTTAGAAACATTGTTAACTCTACATAATGCTCTTAAAGTTCATGCCCTGTGCCACTGGTCCTCATGTCTGACCATAGCCATGTGTACTGTCAATCATTTACGATTCTGATGTTCCTCTGTGTCCTAATGCAAAACTGTCTTTTCTTTTGAAGAACTTAGAGAATACTATTTAACTTCTTTAAACACATCTTCATTACACTTTCTTCAACACATGGTTATTTTATCATTATTAAATAAAATTATATTGTACAAGTTGAAAAATTATATAAGTAAAATATGCAGTAACCATAATTCACAAGCATTTTTAAAAATAGAGAATGTCTTTGAATGTTCAGCATTGGGAACATAAGGTAATATGTAATATTTGTCTGCTGTTATGTAATGATTTATCACAGCTGCCATCTTCAGTCTTATGCTTATAAGATTATAAGAGCTTTCATTTATGTAACTTATAATTCAAAGAAGAATTTCAATAAAGAATACATGAACCATGGCAAGAAGAAGAGCTCGGAGCAACCCACTTGGTGGAATTGTGAGGTGGAAAAAGCCTGGGCAGATAAGTGTGGTGCTGTGAGAAGATGGCAAAATGCCAAATGCAACAGAGTCGCCCAGCCTGGTCATATCTTGAGCCTGCAAAAAGACATGGACATAAAAGTCGGCTCCTTAACAAAACTGGTTATTGAGGTTAAACATGAAAAGTGGACAGAAGTGTGTCACAAAAAAAGTAGAGATAAATAACTGAAGCTGTTCTGGCGACTACATAAAAGTATGAACAGTGCCGACACAAAAAAAGAGCATTCCTGACTTCCGATGCTCCAAGCTCACTTGGCAGAGGTCCGAGGAAAATAAAGGCAAGGCGTTATTAGAACACTTTCTGCAGCAGAGCAGCCAGACCGATATGACAGCACGCAGTTTTGCTATAGTTATTACCTCTGATAGGTGTAAGTTACAGACGTTTGCAGACGGTGATATAGTGACAGTGGATGAGATCAAGGCTGTGCTACGATGAACAAATAATAGTGCACCAGGTCCAGATATGATGACATTAGTAGATGTACTGAAGATAAGCTGAAAGAGCTAGCAGATATGTACAACAATAGTATTGTGAGTGCTAGTATCAGTGAAGAGTAGTAACACAGCTATCTGATACCCCTGCCAAAACCTGGCAAAGATCACACACAAATTCAGGTTTATCGGATAATCACTATGCAAAATACTGTAGGCAAGCTGTTAGAAAAGATAATCGCCAGAAAATTTCACACCAGCTTGAGAGGCAAGGTCTTCTTCCCTTGGAGGGTACCTTCCAAAGAAAGAAACATGGACCAATGCTGCGGTTTTTGCTCATGATGTGTATGAAGGCCTCCACTCAGGTATTGAAATGTGTGCTGCGGCATTTGATCTCGAGGATGCGTACAACAGGGTACCTTTAAATTTCTTAATGTCTCAGCTTCTTGAACTCCAGATAAGTCCATTCCTGCTTCACTGGATCTCCTCCGCCCTCTTCCAACGAAAAGTACTGTACAGATGTGGCAGCTAGACTTCTAAACCAACAATAATACATCCCGGCTTGCCACATGGATCGCCATTATCTCCAGTGCTGTTCAACGTTTACACAGTGAGTATCACAGGCCAGCAAATCACAGGACTTGGAAGAACACTGACATATGTTGACGATGTGTTAGTGTATCGTCAGGGTAAGGATAGACAGGAGGTTGCTGAAGAACTACAAAAAGAGCTCAATGGCGTAAGCACTTGGTGTGGTGAAGCTGGTGCACTGGTCAACACAACAAAGGTGGCAGTGACATGGTTCTCTTTGAATAACCATATTGTGAAAACTCCAACAACAGTTGTTAGTCTGTGTTCTGAGGTTGTGGAAAGAACGAATGCAATGAAATACCTGGGGATATATTTTGATCGAAGCCTTGCTTATACTGAGCACACAGATATAACTTTAATGAAAGCCAAGTGGGGTCTGGCTGCCATGAGAGTGACGGCGGTGGCAAACTGTGAGCAGCGTCATCTATGTCTTCTATACCAGGGTCTGATCCTTTCTGTTTCTGAATACGCGATGGCGATCCTGACTCTCAGCCATAAGCAGATGGGAAGGATGGAAAGGATACAGAACGAGGCTATGTGCATTATATTTGGTTGTACAACAGATACAGCATACAGGGCTATGCGCTACCTTCTCGATTTTCAGAATACAAATTTTCCAAGCTCATGCCTACCTCACAGTCAAGGCGGACACACAACATTCATTACATAGCTAAATCAAGAAGATAAAAGGCAGCAGGTTAAAAAGAGGCAAATCATGGATGGGTCAAGCCGAGGACATTATTTTACAGGTATGTTTACTTGAGGACATATAACCTGGCGAGGAGTGGGTACGAGTGCCTTCAGAGTGATGTACATCTTTTTCTGTTTGCATCCAACTAGATAGAAAATGAAAACAACAGAGTCCGGCTGCTGTGGAAGCAAAAGTTTAAGCCTTGATTTTCGAGAACGCTTTAGAGGGTGATGCTGTCATTTACACAGATGGTTCTGTAATCCGCCACGTTAAAAGCTTTTGGGCTTTCACGGCTCAGTTTGGAGGGAGAGTTGTGAAGGAAGATTTTGGAGCTT